TCTCTCTCTCTCTCTCTCTCTCTCTCTCTCTCTCTCTCTCTCTCTCTCTCTCTCTCTCTCTCTCTCTTCCCCCCTCCCACTCCGTTCTTCTCATATTCTCACCCCTTTTCGTTCTCCCACTCTCCCTCTCATCTTTTTCCCTCTCTCCTTATCCTAAGGACCTTCGCGTAGCGTAAAAATAACTCAAACATTTTCAAACTTTGCTTCGTTTTCTTACTTCATCTTGTTATTATCAAAATCTGCATGGAAAGCAATGGAAAAATTACGAATGTGTGCCAATGAGGATAGTGCACAGAAAGAGATTTTGTATAGTATATTTACATGAGTAGAATAATAATTTTTTATGTGAGTAGAATACGTTTCTAAAGTTTAGCCACTTCAGTTATATCCTTTTTATCCACGGAGAGGCTTGTATTCTCACAATCGTTGCTCATTCCGAAATTTGGCAAGAGATGAGTGTCGTGATCTTTTTGTTACCGAGCGTGTGTGAAGTGTTGCCGTTAGTACACAATGCGTTTAGATCGAGCACTTTTCAACTCGCTTGAGGAAAAAAAGAACTGAATTGACGAAAGTTTTGTCGCGAAGAAAAGCGCAAGGCCCATACCTGAAAACGAGCAAGGTTCCTACGGGCGTCTCCTGAGCAAGAGCTCGCGCTAGACTGCCGCCGTATCGCTACGTTGATGAGGACGCTCTACTGATGCGTCTCGTGACACTGTCGTGGCCTCCTCGCGGTGACCTCGGCGGATTTTAAGTTTATCCGCCAAAGGCATCGTTCGAACCTCCAAGGTAAATCGTTCGAGGGAGAGAGAGGGAAAAAGAGATCTCCTTTCCTTTCCCCAAACCGCAACGTTTAATTTATGTATATTGGCATATAAATCCAAGTATAATAATATTCTAGAAAATTCTAAAATTTTTATTTAGAGAACGTCTTCTCTTTCTTCTTTTTGTCTTAAGTGCATTTTAAAACAAAGTAAAATTAAAAGTAGAAGTCACAATAATGGAGGGACCTTAGATATCACAGTCTGATATATAATTAATCTCACGTATTTCGAACTCTTGTATTTTATGCGGAAGACTGATTTCCCACCCCGAGATAAAATCTACGTCTTTCAAAAGAAGATTGATCAGTCTTGAGGTATGAACCCCTGACGGGCTATACTAAGGTACGACATCAGAAATGAGAAATTATAGGAATTTTTTTCCTGCATGCTGAAGTATATTCGTCTCTTGGATATGCGACGATTTTAAAATTACTTTTCCATATAATATAAAGTTATTTTTGCGACGTAAGCGAATAATATCGTATGATTTTCGAAATATGTGGTGTTAATACCGCAACATTTTCGTCAATCGTGTCGATTTTTCATTCGATTGTACGATGTACTTGCAAGAATATTGAAGTATTCGTCATGTGGCCTTCTCGACTGCCCGCTCGTTATCCTTGATCGATGCAGTATGTCGCTCACGTTCTATAGTATAAACGTCCGAGCAAACGAGACAATCGTATTCGTATCAATGACTCGCACCCGCGGTTCAACCGCGTTCGATTAGAATTCCAAATTATCGGATGGCTTTGGAGGATGGCATTGCATCTCTCCTGTTTATGAATAGAACATCTTACTGATTTTTACGAAAGGGAGGTCGACTCTAAAATGCATGGAGCTCTGACGCGATATTTTTAAGAAATAAACCAGTGCGAAGTAGCACGAGTTTTTTTCTCATACTGTATAAATTTGTTAGTATCGCGAATTCGTCCGACTTGCCAAGTCGTTAGCGCATGAGCTATTAATTCTCCAGTAGCCATAAAGGGAGTCGACACACATTTAGGCGTGCAGGTATTCAGTGACCGTTACGAAGCCGATCATTACTGTCATATTAATGTCTTATTGTATCAGCTCTCGACGAATTAAAATGCAAGGACGATGGCGAGCCAAGTTCAGGAGCGATCTTACTTACTTTTTAATTTGCATTTATTTTTCTATACGTGCAATTTCCTTCAGGATCGTGCGTATTTTTGTAATTGGTAGTCAGTTTGCGTAGTCGAACGTATTGTTCCGCAAAGAAACTGCGAGGTCAACAAAGGCGTTCGATCCGATGCAACTCGAATATTAAGTACACGCACTACCACCGTGTTTCCGTATTTCACAATCGTATCGCTATACTACAAAACATGAGAAGCGACATATTTACGCGCTCGCATCTAACACATATTAGCGTACTTTCTTTCCCCAGTAAAAATCAGAAAATGAAAACGGCGAAAACTAAAAACAATAATAACAATCTGTCAATTATTTATTATATTTGGAGCTACGAATTATCATGTCGACGCCCTTGCTTTCAGGTACCGATGAACGAGGCGGATTTTAATATTTTGTGGATGGGGAATCATCCGAAGCCAGATATCCTGCGGAATTTGATGCCTTATCAAAAAGTAAACCATTTTCCCAGGTAAGAATGCACCGTTATCAAAGCAGTTTCTGTAAGAATAATGTACAGACTTCGTAGAAAATGTAAAAATATTTAAACAAGTAAATGATAGTACAAATATAAATATATCGTAAATAATAAAACAAATTCGCACACAACAGCTCGAATTGTCAAAGAAACGGGAGAAAAGTCTTTTGATTTTTTATAGCATACAAATGCTGATCTCATTAGAAAAGAAATTCGTTTTTGGTACTTTTAGGTCTTACGAGATCACGCGTAAGGATCGTCTCTACAAAAACATCGAAGCTATGCAGAGAAGTAAAGGCCTTCGAAATCTCGACTTTATACCTCAGACGTTTCTACTGCCGGCCGAAGCCAGAGAATTGATCTCGGCGCATTTCAGATATAGGGGACCGTGGATCGTTAAACCCAAAGCTAGCTCACGAGGCCGTGGTATTTATATTGTTAACAATGTAAGCACATTTCCTTTTTATGTGTTCTTACATCTGTTTCGCTTTTAAGTGCGATCGAAAGAAACATCGGGGGATCGATGAATAGCAGTTAGGGCAAACTGATATTGACAAGTCATTACGATAACTACAAATCAACCTTATGAATATTTAATGCTTAGATTACTCGAATACAAATTTAGCATTTGAAAATTGTTAGCTGCTCTGATGGCACTTGTGCTATCTGCCAACTCTATTCGTTTACTTATTATGTTGTTACAGCCCGAAAAGATTCTGACAGACGAATCGGTTATCGTGGCGCAGTACATAAATAACCCGCTTTTAGTCGACGGACACAAGTGCGATTTGCGTCTCTACGTGGCTGTGACGAATTACGATCCGCTGCTAATTTATTTATACGAGGAAGGTTTAGTGAGATTTGCGACCGTCAAGTATGATGGCGGAAACCAATATATCTGGAACCCTTGCATGCATCTCTGCAACTACAGTATAAACAAGTTCCATGTAGATTATGTAAAGTGAGTATACGATATACGAACGATATATGATGTTCGATCGTATGTATCGAAATAAAATTATTTATATTAATAAGGGATGTAAATATAGGAGTATAAAAACAGTTTACTTAAGAAAAAGCTCTGCGGGAAGTAGCTTGTTTCAATTTGACAAGTTTGTTGACAGCCGTTTGTTTTCTTCTCGCTCACTAAAAGGTTGCGGGCGACTGTTCTCGCGTTAAGATGCAAGTAATAGGACGAGATTTTTTGTTATACTTTGTGATAATATTAAAAATAGAATAGAATAGAATAAAATACAGAGATGAGAGGGGAAAAAATGTATACGAAAAAAAAGAGAGGCATGAAAAATTTCAAATATACATGTTGCAAAATTAAGGGCAGATAATTAGGCACATAATTAGGAAAAGGGAGAAACGGAATGAAAGGATATAATGAGAGTTGATCTATTGAATAGAACTGTAAAAACACATGAAAGAACTTTTAATATTGCTATTAGGAACGAAGATCCGGATGCCGAAGATGTAGGACACAAATGGACATTATCGGCATTACTTAGACACTTGCGCTCAACGGGCCAAGATACAGAATTGCTAATGCAACGCATAGAAGATATTATTATAAAATCCATTCTCGCTACTGCATCTGGAATTGTCAGCGGTTTAAAGCAATTCGTGAAACATCCCGAAACATGTTTCGGTAATTATTTACTTTTCTAGGTTGCATTCCAAAACATCCTTTCCTAAGAAAATTTTACTTTTAAGTCTATAGTGTATGTAACATGAACTATAGATTTAAGAGTAAAATTTTCCTCGAAAAAGATGTTTTGGAATGCAACCCTAGTATACAATAGACTAGCAAGATCCCCGATCTCTTTTTTGAGTGTGCATAATTTAGGCTACGAGTGAAATCTGATTAAGAAGCTGTTCCAGATGTGAAATCTATAAACATTTGTTCCTTAACAATAAATTTTTTAGTTAGGCAAGGATCAATATATTAAGACTCAAGTGTATATTTAATTTTTATATAGGTTTTACACATCTCTCAGATGCTACATGTGAATATATATATATATATATATATATATGTTACACATATATATAATTTTTATTCTAGAACTATTTGGCTTTGATATATTAATCGATGATACGCTGAAGCCGTGGTTACTGGAAGTAAATTTAACTCCCTCATTGGGATGTGATTCGCCACTAGATATTAGACTCAAGTCAGCTTTAATAGCAGACTTGCTTACTCTTGTCGGAATACCTGCTGTTGATCCAATTCTACGTCCTCAAAATTTAAATCGTGCTGCCGTCAATTCCAATAAAAGGATAACTAGTGTAAGCTATTTTTTTTTTTACATTTATTTACCGAATTACTCGTTTATCTTTATTCTTTTGTTTCCCGTCTATACGGGATATGCTTCATAAACATTTATTTCTTCATTAACATGGGATTATGTTTTATTCGGCTTTTTATCCTTTTTTAGCAGGAACGTGCATAAGATATTTTATTTGGTGCTTCAAATAAATAAGAACATGCAATGCGTGTATGTCTGGCAGGAAACGAATAAAATATGTATATTGAGAGCATATATATTACATATATAATAATTACTTTATTATTTTGATTTATATATCATTTCTTCGTTTTATTTGCAAAAATAAATCTGCAAAATGCAAAAACTGGCTAACGAATGAAAATAAATTGCGTCAAACAATGGTGTATTGAGCAAATGTTTGTTTTCTTGTTTTAGTATAGGAGGGTACAGTCTGCAGAAACATTACCTCAGGGTAGAAAGAGTATTAGCAGAAGCAACGTAAATAAATCAGGCTTGAGTTCAGAGCAACAGCGAATAGTAGCGTCTGCTAAAGCGCAATTCGAGAGGAGGGGCGGATTTGTTAGAATATTTCCAAGTCCAAAATCTTGGGAACTCTACTCGCAATATTTGGGTAAATGTAACTTTGCGTTTACTTAACAGTATACTCTTGTTTAAATAAAAAAGAAAAAGAATAAATATCAAGATTAAATGATCTATTCAGTGATGATTTATCTATAATAATTGTATATTTTAGATCTAGTTACAGGTACTTCGATGATGTCAGACCCACTCGGCCCAAGGAGGTTGCCTCAACAAGTCAATACAAATCATAATCTGATGTTACATGAACAATTGTTCCCTGCAGCTAGTCGTGTTACCGGTTTTATAATACCAGAAGTAACTTTAGATAGACTGTCTAGGTATGTTGCATCTTTAATTCACACAAAAAAATATATACTATCTCAATCTTTTTTATTTATTACCAAGTTATTGTATTTTATTTATTATCACTTGTGGATCTAAATTAAATAACCAAATTTATATAAAAAAGAAAATATGATATAAAGAGATACATATTAATATTATGTATAAAAACGATCGGGAAAAGAGAAAGTAGAAATTAGATTATGAGTAATACACTACTGTAATTATATTTATGCAATATATTTTAGTTCATAAAAGAGTAATCGATCTGATTGTAGATACGAGAGATACGAAAGAGCATTGGTGAAGGGTCATAAGCAAAGCTTGGATCGTGAAAATAAGGAGAATGTGGATATAGATATGCATAAATACAAAAATCAAGTGATACAATCGATGCAGGAAGGCAACAAGCTCAGGTTTGTCATCAAAATCCATAAGCAAAACATTAAGGCAATTTTTTACCTGATATTGTGGTCTTTTTTTCGAAGTTTCTACAAGAACATTCAGCCAATTAACAATTGTATAAAATTCCAGTCCTGGCGAAGCACGGAAAGCTTTTGGTTTATATCTAGGTTATATACTACGAAAAATATCACACTCGAATGCAGATCCGGCATGCTGTGATCTCGTGATGAAGTTTCTCCAACATTCGTCTTGTAGTTTGAGAACGCCGTTTCTGTTCACGGTATATGTTCATTATAAAACGAATAGCTTTTTATACTGCCGTAATAATTTATGTAAGCAAAATTATTTAGCGGAACGCTGCAATAGTTATTACATTTTATAGAAACTCACATCTTTAATAAATTATTAAAGCAGGTGAAATGTAAAAACTGCATTTTACTAGTGTAAGCTATTTTTTTTTTACATTATCGAATTAGTCGTTTATCTTTATTCCTTTGTTTCCCGTCTATACAGGATATACTTCGTAAACATTAATTTTTTTCATTAACATGGGATTATATTTATGTATTTTCGCACAAGAAATTATAACCGTAACTAGATTGACAACTGAGCGATTCAATCAAAATGATTATCTTTTTCGCAGTTACCGTGCAGCAAGTTAAGCGACAAGGACCGAGCTGCTATTATTGCAAAACAATTGTCCGATTTTTTACATCTGTACAACAGAGAAACGGATCTTTACGAGGATACCGTAGATCGGCCTCGTACTGTTCCTAATAAACTCTTCCAGAAATTTTTAAGTGCAGCAAGGTACGTTACATTAAATAATTAATGATAGTTAAATTCGCAGCTTCGTTTGCGACTTCGTCCGCGGAATTACATGGTGAGAAAACCGTTATTATTCATTTGATTGAAGCAAGTCGAGATTGACTGAAAGAATAATGCGATTGTTACAGTGAACAAGATCTCGATGACGTGCTAATTCTGCAAACCCGGCTTTACAAATGTGCTCACAGTTTCTTGGGAAGAAGTGGTTTCGCCGGCAGTCTACGCGGCGCCAATCTTCTCGGCTCTTTACCGCATATTACATCGCGAGTATATTCTAATGCCGCCGTAACGGAACAATGCAAGTGTAATAATCCGATTAATAGGTAACTCAATTAGTAACTAACTTATTGCACTTTTCGCACATAATTCTAATAAAATTAAAAATCCCGCGTCCGTCAGAATTGCCCCGCGAATTGTCCGTTCTTCGTGATTGCTGTGCAGCTCCTATATTAGCAATATTTTAGTATTAATTGGCAATCTCTATTGCGTGCTAATACTTCAACGAATCCTTATAGTATGTAGCGTCGAATATGTAATGACAAAGAAGAATATTTTGGGTACGCCTTTTAAAACTATTCCGTGAGTCATAAATAACTTTCACTTCTCTCTTTAAGGGAGATAAACACTGTAATGTGAAAAAAATAGCTCTTTTTAGTGAATTTTTTTGGGACGCCCATAAAGCAGGTAGATAAATAAATAAATGTCTTCGCATTGAATTAGTCATCTTTTGAACCGTTGAAAAATATTTTTCTATTTAATAAAATACATTTGTATTTTAGTATAAAATGTATTTGTATTTTATTTGTATTTATTTGTATTTATTTGTATTTTAGTATAAAATGTGTCTGTAGTAGGCTCTGCAAGCTCCATTGGTCCTGTACCTGGAGTTCTTAAAAGTCATTTGAAATAAAAAATGAAAAAGATTTTCTTAAAGTATATAAATGTAATTTCAAGTTAAGTGTACGAAAATTTTAATATTTTAATTATTCGCAAAATAGCGCACATTTTAAAAAATGCTCAAAAATGTCCAAAAGAAGTACCGTTTTTTGGGGGAAAAATTTAAAAAAAAAATCCGTACACTTAACTGAAACTACATTCATATATTTTAAGAAAATCTTGGGGTTTTTTTTATTTCAGATGACTTTTAAGGATTCTAGGTGCGAGGCCGATAGAGCTTGCAGAGTCTATTACAGACACATTTTATATCAAAACAAAAATGTATTTCATCAAATAGAAAAATGTTTTTCAACAGTTCAAAAGATGACTAATTCAATGCAAAAACATATATTTATCTACCTGCTTTATGAGCGTCACAAAAAATTCGCTAAAGAACTATTTTTTTCAGTTGTCACAGTGTTTATCTCCCTTAAATTTACTTTCGTGTAAAATATTGAACGATGAAGCCTATGTACATTCGTCGTTATTAATATTTCTTTAATATTATTCGATAGACCTGCAAATGTTCAAGGAAAATAAATATTAGCTATCTGCGTCCGAAGTTATTTATGACTCGATTCAATATTTAGACAGATAGCTGAGAAAGAAAATATCTCAAAGTCCCGTTTGTGAATTCCTGTGTCGCTTGTTGTAGACTCTAGTGAGCATGCAAAGTCTCAACTTATTCGGATGTCTTTTATTCCGTCTAAACGTTTAAGGCTCCTGGGGAGCCGCATCATCCATCTCTTTTTAATGACGTTAGAAACGAGAAAACGCATGCTAAAAATTCTTGCAAAACACGTCGAGATAAACAGATATATTCACAGATATATTCGACATTTGCGATCGATTAAATACACCTCTAAAATACTCCGTACACATTCCTTTTATTCTAAAAATCAATAGATAATCGGAAAATTAATATGACAAGATAATGAGGAAATTAGGTTAGAAAAGACGATTGCACGTCACATTTATTTTATAATTATCTGTTGATTGTTAGAACAAAAGGAAAATGTACGGAGTATTTTAGAAATATACTTAATCGATCGCAAATGTCGTTTTGTGGATATATCTGTTTATCTCGACGTACTTTGCAGGAATTTTTAGCATGCGTTTTCTCGCTTCTGACGTCATTAAAAAAAGATGGTTGATGCGATTCCCCAGGAGCCTTAAAGTTTTTAGCGAAGAAGATTTTTAAGAAGATTTTAGCGAATGTTATTTCTCACAATGGTTCAAAATATCTCGTTGTTTATCACTAATAATAACATTTTACTTATATCGTCATCCTAAGTATGTCACAGGACGTTGCCCGATTAGATGAGAATTTTGCATGTTTGTCACTTTTGTGAATTCACAATCTTCACTCTCTTCACAAACGGTTTTCCGAAAGAAAGTCGGGTGAAACGTTATATCAGATATTAAGGATATTTTACACTCATATGACAATGACGCTAGTAATCATGCAGAAGTTTTCCTCACCAATACGCCATTATTATCATCTTATATTAGAAATCGAATTTTTGACTAGTCTGTAATGTAAAAAAATATTCGTTGACTATAATACTGTGACATGTATCATGATCATTTCATACTTTTCATACGATGCGGCTCAATAAATCGAAAAGCTTAGAAATACGCAGATTTAGTCTATTTTACACAGTATAGCATTTTACGCTGTCATTTTCATAATGTAATACGCTTATCAAGTATTCAATCAGAATATCATCAGATAGTAAGAATAAATGTAGTTTTATACTGATAAATGATAAGCTGAAAGCTAAACATTACGTAAATTAAACTGACACCGCCAGCTCTCATGTAACGTAAATATTTAGGCCGTATTTTAAATTAACTTGATATTTGAGGCTTTCGTGGCTCTCTAACTAACTTGCTAAATATTTTGATTGATTTTTGTTGATTAGCGAGGTTCGACGATGCGATAAAGCGAAACGAGTGACGCTTGAAATAAGTAGATTTTTCTTTTTATTTTGCTATTTACTCACAGCAGTCAACTCGTATCTGTTAACGCATTTCGAACCATTGACGTGAAAAGGCTTACCGCAGAATCTCACCGATTTCTGCGTCTTAACCAGTAAGAATTAATCAATTTTTCTGCATCTTAGACAGCCGCGAAGATTTTATTAGAATTATATGACTAAACTAGTTATATGTCAGCCTGTGTTCGTCTCTTTTCAAGAAGAACGTGTTCCTCTATTATCTTCTGCGTAAAGATTTCTGATGTCGTGATACTTTTCACCGATCATATATTGCTTGTATCTAGTCATAAACGATGAAATGAGATTTTACATTATTGACAATCTATACGAAAAGAGAGGTAACCCTTAAATTCTATCTTAACTTAATTTTTAGATATAAGCCGAGTTATATATCGTACTTACAGACGGAAATTAAAGTAAACATAATATATCTGCATTTTTCGATCGCGCGAGTAAAATATTTAACTTAAATTAAGATCAAGTGCATTTTTAGGACTTGCGATTACTCTATCTAATTCGTGGTCAGTATTTTTAATAAATGAACAGTAATTTATGACAAATATCAAGATTTATTACAAATGTATACGTGTTCGAGAAATGCATTTTAATCATAGGTTACAATAACAATGTAAATTATTAGTATTTAAAATAGTCTGCTGAAAAGTACTTATTTTATTTTACTAGTATTATTTATTTAATTATTTATTGAACAAGCAATCCCATACATTTATTAAAGAAATACTGACCAACATAAATTTCTATTTTTAATAAAACCAACAAAAAATATATCCTTTATAAGTCACAAGTGAAAATAGTAAATTTATAGCTCGAGTAAATACATGGCTTAGACAAACTTTGTTACTACTGTATTATTTATGCATTGCTGTATTACATTTTGATGATAATCTTACAAGATAAAACATGTGAAATGTGTACATCGAAATATAAATTATTGCAGAGAATACAAATAATCACAAATTGTGCGTTATACTCTTTGCTAATGTTGATACAACATGCCAGTTTAAAGTCACAGATTAAAGTTTTGCAATTCTCTATTGTCAAAATTATTTATCGAAAGTTTAAAACTCCGTTCTGAATATATAAGTAATAAACTAAATAAAATAAATAACCACAAATATTTGTAATGTGCTTCGGATACATGTGTTGTACATGCGTGCACCCATATCAGTAAAAGGATTTCTGATAACCGCCAGAGCATACACATTGTTATATTAACACGAACTGTTAATACTGTCGACATGAGAAACGTGAGTTAAATGCGAATAAAACTATGTGAATTTCCATGTGAATTTCTATGTGTTAAAATGCAAGTTCATTTAACTATACATCGTCCTATGTGGAACATTTCATAACATAAAATACTAAAATAATGTATGATCAGACGAGTTTGTGTTCTAAACAGAAAATCACATAAATAAACTGTTTTAACCGCGAACAATTGCGTTTTTCGCGTTTTTTATTCATCATTTCTTTAAATTCGCGCCAGGATGCCATGTGCGCGGGACTTTTTGGACCCCATTTCGACGAAGGGCTAAAAGCTGCCTTGAACATCTGCAGGGAATATATCAAAAGAAAATATTCGAATAACAGAAGTATGAATATAAGAGAGAAATTCATACATGATTAATAATATATATTTAGGTACACTTGACGAACACAGTTACCTCAGGTAGTCCCAAATTTCTTTTCGATAATATTGTATAGAGCATCCAGAATGGAACTTGCAGCACGCCAAAGGTGAATAACGTCCAACCGACAACTGTAATATTTTCATAGATTAAACAAATGTAATTATTTTCATTTTTATGATGAATCGTGTGTCGAGCCTAATTTCATCTCAGGATAGAAAAAAAATATAACAATTCCAAAATCTTCTTTCAAACTGATTTAAAAAATTCAGCATAATTTAAGATTTTTTTATAAGAGATTTTTTATAAGAGATTTTTTTATAAGAGAAGAATTTTATATTTTTTCGAAATAAAATTAGTAAAGACTAACTATGTGCGCTAGATGGATATGGTACGTTGCTATAAGTCAGCGGTTTTAAGTTGATAATAGTATAAATTAGGATTCCTGCGAGCAACAACGGTGTGATTATCGCCCAGCAGATTCTCCAATATACTGATGGACGTCTCTGTAACATATACTCGACGTCATCCAACAAATTCTCGAGTCCGTATACCCAGAATGTGCCGCTCATCTCCAACGTAGCTAAGAAGAAGATTATAAATGATCCTGCGTAGAAATCCACCAGACCTAGCATGAATTGACCACCCTGTATACATGCGTATAAATATTATTAGTTTTATATGGTGCAACTGGATAAAATTTATACGTGAAAGTAAAACTGTAAATAGAATCGAATGTGTTTTCGGATCCTGAAGTAAACAACATTGGTGCTGCTTGAGAGGTAATGATTCCACGTTAAAAAATCAAATAAAAGATGAAAAACTGTCCGTACTAGATTTTGTTTCTGACACACACACACACACACACACACACACACACACACACACACACACACACACACACAAAACTGGTTTTGAAGATTAAAAAATAAACGTTACCATAAATTTATCACTACGCTATGCGCAAAAAAAAAAACACTTACAGGTGTGCAATAAAGAGTACCGGCGAGAAAGCCAATTACAGCCGTCCCGATAACTACATGCCAGTGCTTCCACGTTGGAAATTGGTCACAAATAATGATATTAAGAGAACTGACCAACGCAACAGCGCTACCAATTCCCAGGACAAATAGCATTAAGAAGAAAAGCACGGAGAACAGCTGAGAAAAAATAATAATAATTTATTATATATTATAATACACACATATAATAATATTATGTGTGTGTATATAATAAAATATATAATTTAATATATTATTTATGTTACCACAACAACACCACATTTTTTTATTTCCGAATTCAGTATAGATAATTTTTACCTGTGGCAAAACGCTAAACTTTGCTATAGCGTCTGGATAGGAAATAAAGGCAAGGCCGGTTCCGCTTCGTACCACACGACTTATGTCATCGGTGCCAAGCTCATACGCTAAATTACCGAGTATGCCGAAAATAGTGAAGCCCGCCAACAAACTCGTTAACGTGTCTAGCGTGGTTACAATTATAACGTCTCTGAGAACACACAAATAAGCGGAATAATAAATAAATTAATAATTGTATTATCTATTGTACAGCCGATAGGATTGTCGTATCTTAATTCAATTAGATCTTACAATTGTATGAGAAAAGAATCCGTCTTTACTTATAAAAATCAGCTGTTACTTTTTTCATTCGTACGCTCGAAGAGTTTAACAATCTTAAATTGTCTCGTTAGTTTCGTACAGGTGTACTTCGATCCGTCTTAGCTTCCTAAATGCAATATTGTTTTATATACAAAAGAATAACCTGTAAATATTGTGGTTAAAGTTGTTGTGAGACGAGTACATGACTACACCACCGAAGCAAACCGACAGTGAAAAGAAGCACTGTGTGACAGCAGCGTACCAGACATCCGCTTCGAACAACTTCTCAAAGTTGGGCTTAATGAAGAAGACAATTCCGTTTACGGCACCTTCTAAAGTCACCGCTCTAATCAGCAAACAGATCATCACGATATACGGAAATATGGCGAGAAAATAGGCGGCTTTTCCTGAAGTCCTTACGCCGCGTGCTACCAATCCGCAAATACAGACCCACACAATTAAAAGGCATACTGTCAGCTTCCAGTCTGGAAGGCCCACTCCATCGTCAATATTCTCTTTCTCTTTCAGTACTGTTTTTCTGCCAAAAAGTAACAAATAATAACATGCAACAAGAGACAAGTAAAACAAGCAGCTTCAAGATATAAAGATTGAAATAAAAGTTGAATAATAAAGAAAGGCACACGCACGCGCGCGTATGATTCAAAAAATATATTTGAGCGAGGGGGAATTTAGAAGTATAAATTGCGCGAAAAAAAGAATGTCATATGAAAAGTAAATCAATTCACTTCTCAACAGTATAAACTTTTAAAAAATATCTTAAAAGCGTTTAAAAGACATAATTTTTAAACGTCCCTTAAACGTCTTTAAAACATCTTTTAGAAATTTATGCTGTTTAAAAACTTTTGGTAAGGAGACGTCGACTTGAAATTTATCATTTAATCTGCTAGTCAAAATTAAGTTAAGCTGATAAATTGTAAGCAATATCTCTTATCACTGATAAACTCACTGGTAATTATATTTTCATCATCGTACTGTGTTTACATTATTTTATTATCGCGCTATCTTTGCTTGTATTTTCCTTTTGTTCTTGATATTTGTTTTCGCTTTATATTTGCGATTGTATGGGGAAAGTCGAGACAAAAGATTTGAGATAATTGCCGTTAATTCTTTGTTTGTAAACATTCCGTTGTATTATAGTTATCTCTAACACGAAACAATTCGTTTAAAACAAGAAACTAACGATAATTGTCTCAAATTTTATTTTGAACTCGACTCACCCAGTAATCCGATACATCTTGGTCTATCCTAACATCCCAGACAACATAATGTCTAAAATCGGAACATAAAACGTCTTAAAGATAATCTTTAAGACGCCTTAAAGACATTTATACGTAAATCGTCTGAAAGACATCTTACAGATGATCTTTAAGACGTCTTATGTCCCGATTTTAGATATTATGTTGTCTGGAGTATATATGTGTTTCTTCTATATATTTATATTAAAAATAATAAAGATTTATTGAGAGAAGAAAGACTGATATGTATTTAGTCGATTATTTTATTTATTTATTTGTATTTATTTAGTCGGTTTCTCACGGCAAATCAAAATTTATAAATATACGGTGAGTTAAGGAATTCATGCATTTATACGCGTCTCAGTAATAAAATATCTATCTCTATCTATAAAAGCCATTTCAATAATAAAATTGTATATATCTTGGTGCAAAAGCATAGCACAGTTTAGTCGTACGACAACATTTCGTGCAGACTTACGTAAAATATAGTTCAGCAGAACTTCTCACCACGGTGATATTGTCGGTGATGTTACCCTTCTTGGCCGAATCCACGCAACTGTCTCCCCAATCCTCCAGACACGTGGACCATGGGAGCTGCGTCGCGAAGCTTCTCACGAAGTACAACAAACTGATCGACATCAACGCACAGTAATAAGTACCTACGGCGGCCGTCGAGTATGTTTGTGCCCAGCCGACACCACGCAATGCCGGTACTAAATAACGAGTTTCCCATTGCTATTAATGCGAAATAATAAAAGTATAAATAATTCATTGATATTTTCAGTCTCTCTCTCTCATTACCGGCGGACCATATTTTCACAGAGGAACTGCTGGTAAATTGACCCATTATCATTTCCAAATAGTAAAACGGCTTCCCCACTACGAAGAGTACGAGGATATACGGAATAAGAAAAGCACCACCACCGTTTTCGTACGCGGTGAACGGAAATCTCCAAACGTTGCCAAGTCCGACGGACATTGCGATGCAGGACATAAGAAATTCCGTATCGCTTCCCCAAGTCGCTCGTTTCTTTTCGTTTTCCGCTGTCGACTGTGTGAACAAACATTTACATAGAACAACATAATAAAACAAGTATTTTATCATCAAGTACTATATATTAGTACAAGTATTCAGTACTGGACCAATATCAAATATTTGGCCTCACAACCGTCCACACAGCACAAAAAAATGACAACAATAAACTTAAGCTTTTAATTGTGTTGCTAAGGATATAGTGATGATTTTAAAATATTATATATTTTCCAGGATTTTTAATAAACTTTCAACCAGAACATTAATACAAGATTTTTCGTTAGTTTTCTTGTGATTAAATTAATTATCAATATCTATTAAAGTATAACTATCTCACCATTTTAAGCTGACGTTTTAGCGGAATTTAATTTACTGAAATATTATAGAAATATTTTAGTAATAATAACATTGATTTTGATGTTATGTGAGCGGATAATGACCAGACACTAAAATTATATTGTAACTTAAGCTGATCGTAAAATTATATGAGTTACCGTCTCTTCCAGCGGCGAGAACGGCAGTTTTCTGTCGTTAGGCATCTGGCAAGCAAAGTTAAATCCATCGTTATTCTGTAATGAAAAATATTAATTTGTTTTCAGTTCTATCCTAACAAACATAATAATATAACAGTTACATCGTCATAATATAACGGAATGTAATATGCAATATAACATGTTTGTTACATATAACATACACGTTAGTTGAATTTCCCACTCAAACGATATTGCAACTATATAAAAGAAATATAACGTGTTACTAAAATGTTATATAGCTGTTATATATATTGCCGAAATGTTATATAGTTGGAATATAAATTATTATTTCCCAGCAATTATAAGTATTTAATTGTACGTAGAGATTATAAGCTATCACTCATATATCACTTAATTTGTAAAAATATTATAATTATATATTTTGTATCAAAAATATTTTTACTAAAGGTAATAACATAAAAGTATCTTGCCATTCTAAATTATTAGGTGAGCACAAAAGTTCTGAGCTTTAGATTAGATTTCATACAATCAAAACAACAATTTTATTTATCTTCCCGCCCTTTTGCGGTTTTAAAGCGTTGACATTTTGCCTTCTAAAATACCGTGCGGTTTGGCGTTTGATGTACATTACCTAAAAAATCAGTAGTATTCACGATAGCAATAACAAAAGAGCATATTCGATTTTCCATCCACTTCGCGTTTCATCTGAAGAAAAATGCTGCTGAATCCACTGAAATAATTTGTGCTGCATATGGAGAGAACGTTGTAAGTCATGCTATGTGTAAAAAATGATATGGAAAATTTCGCCAAGGAGATTTCAGTCTTGAAGATGAACCGTGTGCTGGGCACCCTCAAAAAATTGAAACGGACGAATTGCAAGCATTGCTGAATATAAATTCTGCGCAAACTGAAAAAGAGCTTGCAGAACAGCTTGCAGAACAGCTACGCGGCAAGCCATTTTCGTACGTTTACAATGGGAAAGGTTCAGAGAGAAGATAGATGGGTTCCGCATAAACTGTCCGAAGACAATAAAAATCGACGGCGTGACACTGCACTTACTTTGATTTTAAAGTTCCGGAAAAAAGTTTTTCTGCACAAAATCATTACAGGTGATGAAAAATGGATTATGATAATCCTAAGCGTAGAAAATCATGGGTTGACCCTGGTCAACCTTCAACATCGACGCCAAAGCCCAATATCTACGCCAAGAAGGTTTTGCTCTGCATCTAGTGGAATTGGAAAGATGTGTTATATTATGAGTTGTTACAATCGAGTGAAACAATCACAGCAGATCGCTACCAATAACAATTGACCAATTTGAGCAATGCATTAGAAGAAAAGAGGCAATTCACTGGCCAAGGAAGTCGTAAAGTGATCCTGCTTCATGACAATGCCCGACCACAAGTTGCGAAAGCGACTCAGGACCATATATCTTTGCGTTAGGCTGGGAACTTCTCTTGCACGCGGCATATAGCCAAGACATGACGCCTTCCAATTGTTACCTATTCCTGTCGCTGCAGCATCACTTGGCTGATACATATTTCGTGAGATTTGAAGAGATACGAAAATGCATTGATGACTTTATCGCTTCGAAGCCGGTGAGCTTCTATCGTAAAATAATTCGCAAGCTACCCGAAAGAAAGCAAAAGATCATTGATGCAAACGGGGAATATTTCGTTGATTAATATTTTTTTGTTTGTTTTTGAATAAAGATTGAATTTTGCAAAAAAAAAGCTCAGAACTTTTTTGCTCACCTAATAATTAGCTCCCAAATAACACAAGATATTCCAGAATCATCCTAGAGCTAATTCTAGACGTTCTAGTATGTTCTCAGGTATTTTATGCTATTAGAGTTATTTTCATTTATTCATTTTCATCTTTCTATACATATTCAAATGGAACGGATTACTATTGTAATTTTCATATAATAGTAATATTGTAACAGTAATTAAAAAATGTATCACTTCTTTTTACTATAAAAGTGAACATAGTACAAGTTGTGCGGTTTTGTGATCATCGTTCTTATATATATTATACAGTACAAATTTTGCAGCAATATTGCTGCAACGTTGCAGCAATGTTAAAAGTTGCAGCAATGTTGCTGCAATGTTGTTGCAAGGTCTGTGCTGTATGGGAATGCATCATATTTTACATACGAGAAAGACACGAGAAAACGGAAGCCATTTAGTGAATGATCCGATCCTTAGATATAAGAATGCTATATAACATAGATGTAATGCAAATAAACGCTTGTTATATAACATATTATATTTTAGTTATGTTGGTGTTATATAATTATAATCTGTAAATAACAGAGAATTATAACAGTTCTAAAACACAGTTAGATTGCAGTTATAAAAGAAAATTATGTAACTTTAATATCAATAACGTATAACATCCGTTATACTACGTGTTACTTCTATGTTATATAATACTTATATTCTGTGTTTGCTGGGATGTAGTTTAATCATATCTTATGATACTACTCTTTTCCATCATGTTGAATATGAAAGTTGGTAATTAGTTTAATTTATCAATTAAATTATTTTAGTATAATTAATTTATATTTATCAATTATAGACAATACATGATATATGAATTCACTTACGAAATTTTGTAAATAAATTGTGAAATATGTGAATCAAAATCACCATAAACTGTGATAGGCAAATTTTCTATCATTTTCTATCCAACATTTTAAGCAGGAAAATCTTTTAGAGATTTGTGCTATATGGATCCGCCTACTCGTACACGACAACAAAACGTTAAACAATCGGACAGATGGTTTTACCATCCGTAACCATCAATAACCGGTGACTTTCCCTTTTCGGCAGGTCTCTCTGCGACTGTCCTCCTCTCGCGCTCTGTCTCCCTCGCTCGCTCGTCCTTCAAGGGGACAAGGGTCGCTCCCTTTGTACCTAGATTAAGCACTCACGACCGACCGCAGCACTCTCCGATGGTCTGATAACGACGGTGAGTTATTCGCACTACAGGCGGTGAGCTCTAATTCTTTTCCAACTGTGGCAATCGGAAGCGGCAGCGATCTCTCGATATTTGTTGCGGACATCGATATCTCTCATCTGGGCCCTTATTCTTGAAATAGTTGCGTATACGTAAGTTTTACTGCGTAGGTTTAATCGTACCATAAAATAGCTGCGTAGTAAAACTTACGTATACGCAACTATTTCAAGAATAAAAGCTCTTGCTGGGATTCTGTAACTCTTTATTGGAATTAACGATAGTTTCGTTATCGTTACGCAGCTTTTCTACGGTATACAAAAGCTGCGCAACGATAACGAAACTGTCGTTAACTCCAATAACGAGTTACAGAATAGGGCTACTGGCTATATTTTTGAAATTTTTGCGTATACGTAATTTTTATTGCGCAACTATTTTATGGTATGATTAAACCTATGCAGTAAAACTAATATATACGCAACTATTTCAAGAATAAGGGCCCTGTTAGCCTGTTTGCCGCCTCTTTTCTACATTTTCTTGTTTTTCTTTGTTTTGTCTTCCTCCGATAATAGCGGCGTAACCGCGACCGTTTTTACTTTTGGTTTCGAGACACCAAATCATTGAACTTTATTAAATTTATCGATGAAGTAATTTTATTTTATTTACGAGTTTACGCTAGACGAAAAGATGCAGGATCGATTTAATGTTTATTGTACACGTAATTGGTGCAATCTATACGGAAATCTTTATAATATTTCACCTACAAAAATCTTTTCTCTCTTGCCAATTAATTTTAAATTCAGATTACACATTTGCAATGTAGATCGCGAACATCACAAGCGCAGATTAATATAAAACTAATAAGAAAATGTACGTGAAATTGTAAATAGCTTGATATGTACATCTAATAATCGATCATGAATCTTTTCTTCTAGCGTAAATTCGTGAATCGGTGACAATCATTGTAGATACATAAAAATTAAAATAAATGATGAGTAAGTGATGATTTAATTAAATCATCTTCATTTATATTTGCAGCCTATATGTTACAAACGCAATCTGATAGACAAACTAACATATACGCAATCTGATAGACAAACGCGCATCGCTTGGCGATGCAAATGCGGCTTGATGGACAAAGTCATTCGCTTGTGTGCGTGCGTGTGATTGATCTGAATCTGAAAAAAAATCTGAAAATCTTGGCGTAAATAAAAGGACTTTTCAGCGGGCGAGATTTCGAGATCTCCGTATTGCCTGCACCAATCTTAATCAAACTTGGTGCAAAGTACGCGCACGCTAAACATTATATAAGAAAACTTTCATCAGATTTGCGATTATAAAGAGTTTTCGTGCCTGAAGTATTTGATTTGGAAAACCAATCGTCCCAGAAATTCCAGATAAGCTACGTAGTCGCGTTGCTGTTTGACACGTACTCGGCGCGACCGCGGCGTTTGATATCGGCACGAAATACAGGACGCGATAACAGAAGTCGTTTGCCAACAGATTTTTAGATTTTCGTCCTTTATGACAGGCGCCTCAAAGACTGCCACGTCACAGCACGTCCCAGATAGCACAGAGAATTAAAAAAGAATTCAATCGTATGTCACCAATTCAATCAATGTCCAAGTTCATTTTCAGATGCAAAAATAATTCTTCAAAGTTCAGTTCGATGAAAAGAATGTCTTCGCTAATTTGAGATCGATATATCCGGCGCAAAGATGCGAACACAATATATTTCGTACCGTTCCAAGGATTTCTTTCGAGTTCCGCCTTTCCCCGCTGCCATTATCGCCAATAAAACCTGGATTCTCTGTCCCAACCTGTGTAAAGAAGATTGCAATTTTATTACATTTATTTATAATTATAAATTGTTTATCATTCAATAGAGCGTCCGCACATTATAATTCAACGCTCAATAATTACTCCATTATACTCGTATACTGTATATACAATATTCGTGTTTATAATGCGTGAAGGTCTCGCTCTAGACATGCGCGACAACGCGCGATCAACGTTAAACGAAACACATCCAATGATCAAAACGTTCGGCAAATTATATAATAAAGTCTTAATTGATTTACGTAACTGTTGCTTAAAACCTACAATTTGGCTCTTATTGTCCTTTTATTGTTGTTATTAATTTAAACGAAACAGTTGTAAATCCATGAATAAATCTGGTAAAACGTGAAAAAGAAGAATTTAATGTGTTGTAATAAGAAGACAGACATCTCATTGGCGCAGAGCGCTGATATTTACTTTAGAATACACATTAGAATGCTGCAGATTCATCGATTTCTCATTTTGCATAATTTGCGACAGTGAAAGACTCGAAAAAAAAGTTACTCGTAGCGACTGGCCGAACAGACAACACGTATGATCCTTTCTTGATCTTTCATTTCTACAAGTTGAAGCCATTGAACTGTTCTGAGATATGCCGGATAAAATAAGGCAAATATAAGTGCGAACTTGTTTCTGTACTTTTTGCCGTAACTGTAGTCAATCACTATGTTGACCCTGTTTCGTACAAGCGGCACGGCGTGAATTTGGAGGACGTCATAAGAGTGAAAGGAAAGATGGATCTCTCGGTCAATCACACGACGATTATTCTTCAATTCGGAATGACTGTCGCAGCTGTATTTCGACATCACGTATACGAGGAGAGATCGATTCGTTCGTGCCAATTTTTTAACGCGAGTTGTAAAAATATTATATCAACAAAATTTTATAGAAATATTTCAAATAGTGTTTAAAGAATTCAATCAAAGCGCATGTCATGCGTCTTTTCCGAACATTGAAAGCAATGCTTACGCGCGCGTTGCTAAATCTTCAAACAAATCATCTGTCCCACTTTTGCATTAGATTTGCGAAAATTTCAGAAAATCATCTTAATTCCTTTATGACGAATTCTCACCTTTTCCATTTTCCTCTCAGCTACTAAATAATATACAAAATACACTGACAAAGTAACACTCGCGGACTTCACGGCGACTGGAGGAAAATTAGAGGATTCAAACGGTGGTCACAAGGCGGACGGTGAAAGTATTTCAAATTCAAGCAGTTGAAGCTCCCAACATCTTATGCAAACTGGCAATTTCGGCACGTATCGCTGGTATCCGCTTGAACCAAGTTCCTGCGGCCACACTGAGAGAGCGTGGATTACGTTTTGCGCAGGTGTAGCGCAATACGGATAGGCTCAAGGTAGGGAAAGGCTACACAATCTACGTAAGTTCGAGCCATAACTCACGCGAATCGCAATCAAACCGGAGATCAGGTTGGGTTTAATATGAGACTCCGTAGACTCCAAAAATAAATGATGTAATTTGCATGTGTGTGAATCATCCAAAGGTCAAAATGCACGCTGAAATACCGAACAAGAAACCTAGTATTTTACGATCGAGTTATGTATCGAAATCATAGACGAACGTATCGCAGAGGTTTCTCACCTGCGGTTATTCTCGCCGACCATCGTTGTCGTCGACTATACCAATCATAGTCGACTTTATAAAAACCCGGCAGCTAAGCATGTTATATAATTGAGTTCTCAAGCTTATTATCATTCCATCCGCTGTGAGAAAGAATAAACAAATTGTTCTGCATCGCTATTTAATAGATTTTGTATACAGCAGCAATAGTAACGGGCTTGATAGTGCGCATGTGCGCTGTTGCGCCATTATATATTAGATCTATTTGTATAAATTACGTCCACTAGAGAGAGAAGTATTTTCTGCATTTATATAAGTTAGATAAATTAATTTATTTAGATAAATTATTTATTTACTTATATTATTAATTAATTAATTTATATTATTAATTTATTTATATTAATTTAATTTATATAAATTAGATAAATGTAAGATATTAAAATGCCATTCTTTCAATGGAGAATTCAATTGCATATTATAACATATTATAAAAAAGTAATATAAAGAAAATAGTTAAAAATTAATATAACAGATACACAGAAAATGTTTTTTTAACATTCTTTTTATTATATGCAATATCATGGCGTATATATTGTATATATGTAAATTGAATTTACACATTTTATACATTTACAAAATATCTGCTTCTCACACTGGGCACATTTGCATGTATATTTAATGGAAAATGTGAACAGTGTGCAGAATTAACATTCAACTGATAAATTGATTAAAAAAGCTAAGCTAAGCAAATTCGTTTTTACTTAAAACTTTTTTCATAGTCTTTTCTAAGGATGGTAATAATTCACAATAAGAATCTACACATTTTGTAGCACATTTCTCAAATTCGTCACCATATCTATCCACTTCTGTCTGTGTAGGATTTGGACCCACCTTGTCTTTTATATTATCATTGCACTCCATTATACATCTTTGCAAACGATTCTAAAATCAGAACATTTGTAACAATAAATATGTAGAAAATATACATACTTGCTTCAAGAGATAGTCACAGTTAAAGTTTAAGGACATACTATCTATATAACATTGAATTTATAAAATATACTGTCTTTTCATAACTATATTTCTTTGATATATCAATATTTGTGTTATATAGAGAGGTTATTGGCAGGATCTTGCAAATATAAATCATCAACAATTGTAACAATTAAAGACTTATATCTTGTAAATAACTAAATTGAATATGTTTATTTACCTGTACTCGATCAAACTCTCCTTGAACATATTGTTGCGCCTTGTGCAAAGAGGTACTGCAGTTCTCCACACAGTTATGTACTTTATGTATGGTGTATGTTTCATTTTCACAACAGGAAGCAGCGCATCTGTGCATATCTCTCTAAAATAAAATATAACAATGTCTTTATATATGAAATAGACATGAAAATCGTTAATTCATTAGTATTATTCTTTGTTTCCTTTTTCTTTTTTATTCAGAATCCTTATTTTTCAGTCAAGTTTGATAACTTAAAGTCCAACTTGGAAATACCTGCATTTTCCGTAAAATGGACTTATCAATTTCCTCGACTATTTTTGTCATGTGGTCCTCCACTCGTTTTCTTTGTTGTTCTACCATTTTTTTGTCTTATTTATTCCGTAAGAAATATCTGTGCTATACAAAAATATACTAATGTAAAATATTAAATTTAACCTAGATGATAAGACAAACGCATGTGCTACTCTTAGCCACCTATATTGGAAGAGATTAGACCATCTTTACACGACAATTTAGACCGGTATTCATGGTTCAGGGGCCGTATTTTTAGCGCGTTTTCGAACGTCCTTCTTATTTCAAGTTTCATTTTTCTCATAGAGTTTATAAAGAGGTCATCTTGAGAATTGGAAAGACGTAATCAACACTCGAATACGCGTCAAGAAAATATGATCATCTCAGGTTGACTCGAAGGTGCTTTGTAACCAATAAAATGCAGCAAATCTAAATTGTATCCACAAGAATTCCGAGTCTTCATATAGAACAAACCTTGAAATTTGCAATTGACATAAATCACCTTGCTTAATCAGTTGCTCTCCTCGTTCGTTCACGATTGGTCGTAGAGAAATGTGGAACGATGTCGTGTACGTATTGTTACTGTTAATCTCCGTGGCAATTGGGCCTCTCTATCGCGCAGTGCAAGGACCTCGTGAAAAACAATGGCTTGCGACTCTCCTCGGCTTCGCGTTAGTGATCTGTGTTTCAGGATGGTCAGTTTTCCATCCACTCATCACTGTTCTCGTCAACGCCATCATTATAACCAACTTATCATGGAAGTATGAATATATTTCTCCGAAATATGAATATATTAATTACAGTTGATGACAACGCAGTTTACGATCGTTAACTTTAGAACATTGTATGTCTAGTTAAGCGATAGTAAGCTGAAGATAAGGAAAAAATTATGGACAATTTATTTTGACATTTAATTGATATTTCAATGGAGAGAAACTTCAATAAAAATAATTCTGAAACACTGAAGATAATAAAGTATAAAATTTCAAATTGTCCAGGTTTTTCCAAAACCAGAATAATCACTGTAATTAATGTTTATTAAGATATATTAAAATATACATTAAAGTGTGCAAACATGATTTTTCAGAAAATGCCATCTAGTCAGCCTGTTTTTCTCCTTTTTCTACTTGCTGGTGATCTTTCGATTGAGTAATCTTTTTGGACTACCAAGTCCACCGACTCATACAAATCTTGTTGTAATGATACTTACATTGAAATTGCCTGGATTAGCATTTGAAATTAATAATGCAGCTACAGCCCCAAGTGATGATACTCAAGGGGCAAACTCAGAAGCGCTCAAGAACATCAGCTTCATGGATGTGATACATTACAGCTTTGGTTACATGGGTGTTCTAACAGGTAAGATTCTAAACCTGGACCAAGTTGTACGTTTCTGATATATCCTAATATTTACAGGTCCATATTACCGCTACAGAACATATTGGGATTCTTTGCACAAGCCTTTTTCCAAGCATGCTGACCCATGGCCACTGACATATTACAAGCTCAAGCAAATTGTAGCATTCATCGTGCTCTTCTTAGCAATGGATCATCTGTTCCCCAGTAATGTAATATTCCCTTGTATTTTTACATTATACAAAGAGATTATATACTGAAGCATATAACTTTATATAATCAAGCTATATAGAGAAGTTATTGACAGTCAAATAGGGAAGTAGAATAGTCATTTTAGTAATGCATCTTTTACACTTTCAGTATACGCAAATGCCGGAATTTGAAGAACACTCTTTGATGTATAGATTCTTTTATATGTATCCAACATTCGCCACCTTCCGACTGAGAATGTTTATTGGCATGGCTCTGTCTGAATGCGTCTGTCAGATGTCAGGAGTAGGAGCTTATCCGGTGTGCTGCCAGCCTGTATCCGGTCTAGGTCCGCGTGATTACAAAACAATCGAGAAATTGTAAGACAACTCATTTTCCGTGTTCATTCTTAGATCTGTTTTTTTTTTTCAAAGAATTTCCAGAACTGAGGTATACTGGTGCAGTGAGTTACAGTGAAACAAGTATACTTTGTTCCATTCTAATTTATTGCACCAGCATATGCCAGTTCAGGAAATTTTCTCGAAAAAGAACAGACTATTAATTTGTATAAAGGTCTTATTAGTTTTTATTCCTTCCTTAAGGCACATTTAACAAACCCCTTTACTCTCAGTTTAATAATCAAATTGATTGACACAATAGGCTGAGGAATTGTAGGACAATCAGAGTTGTCAAGTAGAAAAACATGGTTGTACGTACACTTTTATTGTTTTAAAAATTGCACAATAAAAAAGAAAACTTTCTTGCGCGATCATTCAGATATCTATACAAGAAATTTCATGATGATCACTCAAAAAAGTATACTATGGCATTGTCATATTGAATAAAATCATATTGAAATAATGAATTTAGAAATCACTTACTAGGTCAGTAAATGAAGAAAAACTGAAGGATCTGGAGCAAGACTTCGAGACTGTGCATAACATGAACGTGTGGGAAGTGGAGACTACTCCATTCGTTAGGCAAACAATGAAAATGTGGAACACGTGTATACAATATTGGATGGCCATATGTGTTTACAAGAGATTTCCCCATAAAGGGTTGAGAACTATGGTCACAATGCTTCTCTCCGCTCTATGGCATGGCTATGCAGCAGGTTACTATATTTGCATCTTGCAAATTGTGCTCTATTTACCTTTTGAGGATATCAGCACAAAGTTCTATAATCAGTGTGATCCAAATGGACTCGTAAGTAAATTTATAATTAAATTATATATAAACTAAGTTATAATTAGCTCAGTTATAATAAATAATTTTTTTTAATTTTGTGAATTTTCACGTGCAAAAATTTATATTTACATATAAGTTTAATTCATATCGCTTCGAGAAGAATTTGTCCTCTATTTGAAGATATTCTGTTTATCTCAAATAGCGTTTCATCATAAACAGTTCGTAATTAAAAATGTCGAATTATTGACCAATAAAGCGTCGTTTTTATTAAAAAATATACTGTGAATTTATAATTATTTGAAAACGGCTGATAAATCGGCAAAATTCTTTTCGGAGCGATATTCTCGGATGCAGTTTAAATATATGTGATAACAACGTTTTTGTAATTGAATATAGGGTAAAAAGGCTTGGGGATTGTTCCTATGGTGGGCGAAACTCACGTGCATGGCGTATCTTGGTGTGCCGTTTCAATTGCTACATCTTCAAGAAGTAATACACTTTTACAGAAGTTTGCATTTTTCCGGGCACATCTTAGGACTTTTATTGTATTTGTTTGTAAGAGTTTTAAAGATTTTCTTTTTGAAACGGCGTCTAAGCGAAGACGATAAGAGCAAGTAACTTCTTTTTGTTCTTCCTCGCGAAATTCTGTTGTTTTTAAAACAGGGATTCCTATTACTAACAATTTTACTTTTTTTTTAACTTATAATCATTACGTTCAAGTTTCACGATATTAATTTCTATATTAGGAGAACTATAGAAGAGTTTCACCTCCTGCGTCATAATATCACATAAGTCACATATAAGATAAAAAGGTTATAGTCTAAACCAAGTCACTATAGTTAAACTTTGTTTAAATGCAGTGACAAACCCAAGTCACGTAATGTGACGAACACGGGACTCACTCGTGCCGCATTTGAGAATATCGTGTGTAAAATATTGAAAGATAAAAGAGCCGAGTTTGGGAATTCCTGCTTCAAATCATTAAGAAATGCGTTGTAAAGACAAAAGAAACTTACAATCTTCCGCGTAGTTTTGATATAAGCGTATAATCAAAAAGTAGTAATTAGTCATTGTTAACATTTCTTTTTTACGTGGTATCGGTATATTGGGATATCTGGAGTATACCAAATATTTATATATATTACTAGTACAAATTTGAGTGCCACTTGTTAGTTGAATATTCTATATGCTCTCTAAAAAAAAAAGCTCCCAGACAACACGAGTGTTCCATTTTTTGTTGAGAAGTCTCTTAAACAACTTTACGGCATATTTTAGACATTCATGTTGTCTGACTGTGACTTTCTTACCCAAAGAGTGGGTCAAATATCGCCTGTATCTTAAGAATGTGTAAACGTAAACGAGGATACATTTATGGACGATAATCAAGAAGAGCAATAAAAGTATATTTGTTTACCTAACACCAGACTTTTTATTAATCTTTGCACATCTCCACAATTCATTGTCGTTTCGATACGATGAAATGTTTCATGTCACTTTTAAAATATCTCACATATAAATACTTACATAGCCCCGTAAGCAGATTCACATTTTTTAGACCTGAAAGAAAGACATGGTAAAATATTTGGAGAGAAAGCTTCATACAAAACACATCCCCTTCAAATCTCTTCGGTCGGTGTGACGCCGTCGCGAGCATTAAATCTTTCGCAGATACGTGATGTGTAGCGATTGCTCGGGACTGAGAAATAATGCAATAGCATCGTCATCTCATGTGTTAACTCAGTACATCAATTCCATTCGAACGCTTGAAAATTCCACCTACATGCATTTTAAACCTTTCTGAACTCAACTCTCCTAATATTATCGGTATTACTTGTAGCATTTGCTAATACACGCGATAAATCAAGAACATATGATTATTTATGATTAAAAAATGTGAGGGTAGTTCCGAAAATGTCCCTTCTCCGATTTTCATGAAATCGAGTGAAAATATTCTCAAATGAGCATAATGGAATTTTTAATGGGTGTAGTCAAAATAAATGAAATTTTAATGGAAAATTTAGTGAAATGTTTTTTAATCAAAATAATGTTTAAAAGAGAAATTTTTAATTTTACTTGATTAAATATCTTAATAAGATCAAATTTATTTGACCCATAAATTTTTTAAATTAATGAATTTACAATATAGAGTAAAAATGAAATATCTATAAACGTTAGCAAAGACTATTTTGTGAAACATCTAAAATCCTGCCGCATATATTCATTTGAGATATTTTTATTAAATTTCAAGAAAATCAAAGAGTGAACTGCGAAACAACCAATGATGTGAAAATGCAAAAGTTAACTAAAATATATATAAAGTATATGTATCATTTCACACTGTCCGCGGTGCTTTCGATATAAAACGGGAACTATAATTATACGGTTTCACGTGGATAATATATATCGCATATTAAGATTTAGATATTAAGATAGTGATTTTCATGTCATCCAAATCCTATTCTCCAATCCGTTGCTCCATTTAACGTTTTATCTTTAAAAATTACTTTGAAATAAAAAAATATTTTAACATTAAATCAAGATAACTTTAAATAATCAAAATAAATGAGACATTTTCTATAATAACCGTATTCAATATATATATGTATATGTTGTGTGTATGCATGTATGACGAGAATGAAATAAAAGATGGCTCATGAATGACACGCGACAAGCACTGTCGAAGGCAGCTCTATAGTGGAAAGATAATCTAACAATAAGCTAAGAATCAATTGAGGTAAAATTTTTTTAAGACACCAGTGACTCTAATTAAAATTTATAGTTGTACGACAGTGAAAATTAAGCAGCTTTTAACAAATCGCGTTGAGAAAAAGATACTTCGATAATATAATATTTCGTACTTAGTTCCTAAGAAATATGAAAGTTTCTTATATATTCAATTTCAAGAGAATATGGAGGTCTTATCTAAAATACTCGACCGATTAGCCAAACTTTCCTATATTTAGTAGATTCGCGTTTACCAAGATCTCATAAGCTAGACCAAAGGCTACTATCTGTAGAGCTGCCACTCTCAGGGCACAATGATGTGAGTGCTATGGTCTACTATAGTTTACCGTGTCGTGTGACTGCGTTTACCGATGCTCGATCGATGATTACGATGTTTTATGAATCAGGCACCTCTGTTCGCGAGGTCTGGTCTGGTGATGGCCTGTCGCGTGATGCTAGAACCCGATGTTGCGCTCCGGACGTCGTCCGAACAAGCCAGCAACAAAATCACATTTTGTTTTTATATAGCTTGCAGATGATCATTTGGCTTCTATTCCCTCTTTCAAATCTCTCACTCCCCCATTCTCTCTTTCTTTCTCTCTCTCCCTCTTGCTCGCACGTTCACTCTCTTTCGCCCTGACCTCTCGCAAACCCGCCTTCCACAAATCACCGGATCACCAGACCATCAGACCGGAACGGACCGGACCGCACCGCACCGCGCCGCATCGCACCGTACCGCACCGCACCATCAACAGCGCTCTCTCTCTCGCTACTGCGAACTGCTTACAGCCCCCTGCTACTCCGTATACTGCTTACTCTCAGCTACCCCATCATCTGCTACACGCGTCACGCCACTCCTTTCCACCGCCTGTGGCACCATAAAATCAGAACTTAGTCATCAGAGAATATACAAGTCGCATCCGTGTGTGAGAGGAGTAGTAATTTTCTTTACTTTATTTTGCAAAAGCTTTTTGCTTTTTGGGACTGTAGGTATAAGTGAAAATTAACCGATAGAAACACGAGGGATGTGTTGCAGTCAAAATGTCCAATATCAGCTAGATTGTCAAATATTATAGAACGCGAATATCCTCCAGAGACAGATATAATATTTGTAACAATTCGTGGTTTTGTCATTATTACCAAGTTTACATACGCCCTCTTTATCGAGAATTTCCTATTTTTATATGATATACCTATTTGATATAATAAGTAATTCTATTTATTCTAAATAAACACTATCATCGTGCAATATTTTAATAGCTGACGTTAGTGTGCAAATTGCTGTAAAAATAAAGTAAGTCATATACACATTTTGACTGTAACAGTTATATCAAATACACGCGATTGAATTCTCCGCGAGAGACTAATCCGATACCTCACAGTAAACCACCCCCGAATCCAAGGATCTACAAGCTTCGTGCCTCCTAGATTTCCAAAAGATGCAACAATCCCAAGAGCCAGCCGATCGCTAGCGATTATATATTTTCACATAATAGTACTATATATGTAATAATTAGAACAATATACAGATATATACTTTCGTTGAATATAAAATGTCGGAAACATTAGTGACGTTAAATCATCTCTCGCTTATACATTATTACGATTTTCGTAAAACACATATATGCCAAACACAGAATGCATTTCTTCTTATATATCACCTGAAAAAGCTGAGCCTAGTAAAAAAAACGCTGTTCATTTCAATTAAAACTTAATTACTTCGTAATTTATTAGTATATCTAAGGTAATTAAGAGTTTGCACGAACATTCCTCTCTCTAATAAAATAAAGAACTATATTGCGTAATTTGTTAGAGAAGATTTGTTTTCTGGTAATATATTTTTTGGCAAAAATATCAATCTCAGCAGATACACTTCAATAAAGTAATAATCAAGTCGACATTTCATATGCAACAATGTAACATGTATATATAAAAATTTTATATATATATATGTGCATATATAAAATTTTTATTTTATGTTATGTAATACTATATATATATATAATATGTATAGACGCAAAACCTAGAGGTGGATCGACCGTTACACATTAAAATCCACAAAGGAAAACAAGGGTACGTATACAGCTCTGTCTTCTGCAACTCACTGCGCTTTATTACAAATGAATCTACGGTGTGCGGACTTACATGAGCGATTGCCTATCAACGCAAACTTATCTCTAGAAATGTATTGTCGTGCGTGAGAAAAAACCTAAAACTTCGAATTTTCATTCTCAGGGAGGATAAAGGGCTTCCCTTCAACTCAATACACACATCTGGACACATTGTCGACAAACATTTTCGATTGACAAACTAAGAGAATGTTATTAAAATAATCTTCTTATATTGCTGTTAAGTGCGCAATATACTTGTATATCATATTACTCTTACACAGCGACTACTGTTTTATTCATTGTTGCTTCTTAACATCAAGATATGAAAGATTTTTAATTAGTAGTCTTATCGCGTTGCGGTTGAAAATAATCAATTTATCGAATAAAACATGATGACAAATTGGTTTGGATAAACCATAAACTAATTTTTTACTACACAGTACTCAATTCAAAACGCAAATATCAAATAGACTAATAATCTTTTGAAATGTTACTTGACTTCACACTATTTCTCTTCGCAAACTAAGATGCATTGAATCTATGAATTAGATAAAATGTGAATTTCAAAGATTATAATTCAAAGTTCTAATAACTTTAACAAAAAATATCTGTGTAATAGAGCTCCTAGTGCAGAGGCCCATATTGCTTATAATTTCTTACTTGTTTTCTACTTTTTATAAAATGTATACGTAGAATTTTCGAATAAATTTTCTTTGTGGTCAATGTTTGTCATCAATGTTTGCAAGTGTGTACCAAGTTTTATCAGCGTAGCAATGCGCGTCAGACAACTGATGTGTTTAGAAAATAGAAGAATAAAACATAGTGGGGAAATCTATTTATATACTTTCATCTCGTAATATTTTCTAATCGATGAAAAATATATGTGAATGGTACATGTCACTTTGACGATCTCATTAATACACAAATATCGTCATAATTATCAACAAGAATTGCATACATGAAATGCGATCTAAAGATAGATCATATAGAACAAGATTTTAAAGAATTCATCTCAATTGTAAGACAGAAACAACATTAATTCAATTGTTGCACAACAGAAATGTTATTAACGCGAATTAAGGGAAGCACGCAGGAAAAGAATATATGTGTTATTGAGAAACTAATCGGCCTCCGAAACAGGAGGAAGACGCGTAATATTAATTCAAATATATGTATGTATATAATATGTATGTATGTATTTAAATGATATAGAAGAACGTGAAGAAGCGTGCGACAGTGTTGCTATAGAGTGTGATGGAATACCTTTTTCAATCTCAACATAGATTGTTCGGCATTCTCGTTGGACGCTCACGCACTCTCATTCTTATCCTGTTACACACTCTGTCGACAATTTCAGTCCCTGAAATTATACGGTAAAATCGATCGGCTGTAATAAACTGTCCAAGTTAATCGCTTATCACGTAGAAAACAAAAGGATTAATTGCTACATGGATGCTATACATGTGTATGCTTCTGATGCAATTATTTATTTTAATTATGTTTCATATGTACAGCATAAAATTAATTGTAAGAGAAGTCGAATTTTCGCTGTGTTGTATACGTTGTACATTAACGAATCCGCGAGATTACCGCTTTACTTATTCAATACGCGTTTTCACCAATCGTATAGAGATTTTTTGAAGCCAGAGTTATTAAAACTTTGAGTACAGATCTTTAAAAACTGCGATATTACGAATTTATGGGGAAAGAACACTCGATAACTCGCAGAATTTGCCTTTTACAATAATTAAAATTAAAGTTTTTTTACCTTGACTTGGAACGGCTGTCTTTTTGCCTGTCCTGAGATTTGCTGCGAGAGCGTGACTTTCCACGCGAGCTCTTGCTATCAGAACGAGAGCGACTACGGCTGCGACTGTACGAGCGCCTACGATCTCTATCACGACTACGCGACCTACTACGAGATCGTGATCGAGAGCGACGTCGATCTCTGCTTCTGCTTCGTGATCTGTAAACATGTACAAGAACGTCTGAAATATTACTATTTTTTCTTATACTGATACAGTGTTGACGAATGGATGCTGCAACATTCAAGCCAGATAGATTTGATCAAACTGAGCGAGTCCTCTGCTACTTTCCAAACGCAAATGTGCGAGTTATTAACACGTTCAATGCCGCGTAGGCCGTCAGTGGAGATGCCGCAGACGAGCTGTATTGATGGCGTTTACCATCCGTGGATACCTCACTCACCATTCAAATACCATTCGAATACCAGCTCACAGGTAGAAAGAGGTGAAGTAATGGCTGTGTTCAGCAGAGAAAGCTGCTTTGCAACTGTTGTAAAATTTGTGAAACTGATTGGTATGCGTTCTTAGATTTAGCTAGGATTAATTAATAATTTCTTTAGTTATTAATTTATTAATTCTAACATAATTTGAAAAAGACCTGTAAGATTCAAATTTATTAATTTTCTCTCTTTTCTCTTAAGACCATTAACAAAATACATTTAATTTTTTAATGGTTTTTAATTCATAACAAACATTTTCATGATTACTTGAAAAATAGCTATTTTGCTTAATTTAACTCAATTTACCTGTTTCTAAACACTGTAATATTAAGTCATTAACACTAACTCATTATAGAGTGAAACAATAAACTCATTGTAGAGTTAAGCAATTATTTGCTTTGTCTATCTTTACTAATTAACTAATCTTAAGCTATGCTAACTAAAACCATAACTAGTAACTAGTAACTACAGCAAAGGAAAATGAAATATAGAGATTGCGAAATATACCTTCCGCGCCGACGACTTCCACGACTTCGATGCGGCGACGTAGGACGACCATAACGTGCCATTTGAACTCTCAGTTCCCTCCCATCTAACAGTCTTCCATCCATAGCATCCAATGCATCTTCAGCATCGCGCTTGTCGTAAAATCTGTGAATGGAATATAAAGACTAAATTACTTGATCTGTATATAACAATATCTCTAGAATTGAAATTATCAATTGCTTGCGACACATGCTGTACTTTTTCCTGAATCAATTATTCATCTTGTTTCACATATATAAGATAGAATGAGAAATTTAGAACACGTAATGGAAATTGCAAAAAAAATGTTCCTAAGAGGAACGAAGAAATGGCGATAAAAAGTGTGTTTCTGAGAAACGGAAAAATGACGCACAAGCATGGCAATACGTAGTGCGCTCCAGATTGTCATGACGTCAGCGTCATCGGCGTATACGCGCAAGGGTTTGTCTCAGGCGAGTCGATGACGAGCAAGATGACGAGAAATATTGACGCTTACCTGACAAACGCGAAGCCACGACTCTCGCGCGTAAAGCGATCCCGGGGGATGTAAATGTCGCCGACCTCGCCGCATCTCTCGAACACCCGCCTCAAATCTTCCGGCGTCGTTCGATACGTTAGATTGTCGACTTTCAGAGAAACCATACCGTCGATGCGAGGCGGTGGCCTGCCGTAGCTCATGGCGCCTCGTTATTCTCGTCGTGAAAAGCAGAAAGTACGGAACTCCGTGACGAATTGCAAGGTAATCACGCAAACTACACGTAAGCCGGAGCAAAGCGGGAAAGAGAAGATGGCGAATGGAAATTGCGTTAATGGCGGACGCCCGACTACACAGACTACATGGCGACATGAAGAGCCGCGTACTACGTACCGGTTGAATTAGTCAAACGAAAGTTTAAATTGATCAATCATCGACTCTCTGACCCATTATGCCACGTATATGCGTATCTATGTATATAAATTACGTATATAAATTGCAAAATTCGTAGTATATGATACTTCTGTAATCATTCAAAATCAAGAAAACCAGTTGATGCAGGAAATTTCATCATTGCAAGTTACTACACATTCGTTTAAAACAGAAGGTCGATTGTGTATCTTAAAACGGAGTGAAAATGACAAAAGTGAGCAAATTTACTAGAATATTTGTAACTTCATTGGTCAATGCCTAGTGCATTTACTCACTTTTGTAATTTTTACTCCATTTCGAGATATACAATCGATCCCCAGGAGTCGATTGTGGCTGTGTTCCGAAATTTACTGCCAGTACTGAAAATCTATAGTTCATGTTACGTATACTATAGAATTTCAGCACTGGCAATGAATTTCGGAACGCAGCCTGTCTTAAAACGGAATGAAAATGACAAAAGTGAACAAATTCACTAGAATATTTGAAACTAGGGCGGAAACGTGAAAAATGGAAAGATTCACTCGAAGTTACGTGATCGCTGCCCTGCTTCGAGATACACGGTGTTTACGATATTTCAAGTTGGAGTTAGTACGAGTTAGTTTCACTAGGGCCGAGAAATATGATAAGCACAAGCATCTAGTATTTTCATGATTTATGACAACTCAATGTTGCCCGATAAATCGAATAGGCTGCGTTCGAAAACGTTACTCGAGTACTCTCCCTCTTTTTTTATCTCACTCTTGTATTTCGCTCACTCCAACGGCTATTGTCTAGTAGTGTGCACACAGTGTGTGTTTCCGAACGCAGCATAGAGTAGAGTTAGGGTAGTATAGCGTATAGTATATATATAATAATTAACAGTGGCCTGGTTTACATCGTGCACTTGATACGCGTACTAAATAGTAATTTTCTATTAGATAATCTTAATATCGACGATATATATATAAACAACGGTATAATTAAGCTGATATAGGTGTGTTCAAAAAGTAAGGTGACTTTATATTTTTATGAAAAAATATTTATTTATTCATCAATATTCAGGTTGTCCCTTTCAAAGTAATCCCCCTCAGATATAATACACTTGTGCCAACGCTTTTTCCAATCCTCGAAGCACTTCTGATAAGCACTTTTTGGTATAGCCTTGAGCTCTTCCAACGCCCTTATAGAAATATCATACTAAGAATCATTGATAATTACTTATTATATAGTATTTTTAATACTGAAAATAAGTAATTATCAATGATTCTTAGTATGATATTTCTATAAGGACGATACAGTCTTTATCTCCTCAATCGTTGCAAATCTCCGTCCTTTCATAGGTCTCTTCAGTTCTGGGAACAGGAAAAAGTCGCAGGGGGCCAAATCCGGTGAATATGGTGGCTGAGACATGATTGTGGTGTTGTTTTTGGCCAAAAAATCTCTCACAAGCAACGATGAGTGAGCAGGTGCATTATCGTGATGCAAAAGCCATGAATTGTTTTTTCACAATTCCGGACGTTTTTTTCGTATTGCTTCTTGCAAACGGCGCATAACTTCAAGGTAATACTCCTTATTGACCGTACGACCTTGTGGTAAGATGCACTACGCCACGGTAATCAAAGAAAACAGTGAGCAAAACCTTGACATTTGATCGAACTTGGCGTGCTTTTTTCCGTCTTGGCTCTCCTGGGTTCTTCCATTGGAACGATTGGGTTTTGGTTTCGACGTCATAACCATATACTCATGATTCGTCACCAGTTATGACCCTTTGGAGCAAATCAGGATCATCATTGACGTCATTCAACAGCTCCTGAGCGATGCTCATGCGACGGTTCTTCTGGTCAAAATTAAGCAGTTTCGGAACAAACTTCGCTGACACACGTCTCACGCCCAAAACATCCGAAAAAATTGCATGGCACGAGCCAACCGATATGCCAACATCCTTAGCAACTTCTCTAATAGTGATTCGATGATTTTCCAAAACAATTTTCTTCACTGCTTCAACGTTTTCATCCGTTGTTGACGTGCTGGGACGTCCAGAGCGAGGTTCGTCATTGGCCGCGTTCAGTAGAACAAGTGATCAGTAAGCGCTCAGTGAGCTCTTGCATCTGATTGGAGTATAGTTGGAGATCTAAAAGAATATGCCAAATCATATACAAGAGCTCCTTGAGCGCTTACTGATCACTTGTTCTACTGAACGCGGCCATTGGTATCTTCTCGGCCATCTTGGAAGAGCTTGTACCACTTATAAACATTTTTTTTACTCAGAGCAGACTCACCGTATGCCACCGTCAACATTTCAAGTGTTTTGGAGCACTTAATTCCATTTTTTACACAAAATTTGATGCAAATTCTTTGATCCATTTTTTTTGATAGCAGAAAATCGCCGAGCACACCAAACACGTCTAACCTTTGTATCTGTCAAAAACAAACTAAATATGCTATATAGTTCCTTCCTTCCTTCCTTCAATATTTGGCTAGAGGCGCATCCACGACTCATGCCCCAACGCCATTACTCAGCAGGTGTTGCCATCGTATGTTATGCAATATAGTTGAAACTGTAAACATATGTTCGGGACATGTGTACCAACACAACAAAACAAAAAAAATCGAAAATCGAATGTACGTTGCACGCGAAATTTGAAAAGTCACCTTACTTTTTGAACACACCGCCCATTTCAAAAAATTCCCTAGCTTAATCAGATTTTAGTAAAAGCTGTCTCACTCTTATAGAAATATCATACTAAGAATCATTGATAATTACTTATTTTCAGTATTAAAAATATTAGATAATAAGTAATTATCAATGATTCTTAGTATGATATTTCTATAAGGGCAGCAGTAATCGGATTAGCTTCATAGCGACGTGAGGTGATACTTTGTCCTCAAGAGAAATAAAAAGATAAAAGTCGGTAGGTACATAATTATTATTCTAATGATTAGCGCTTATCATTTTTCTTATATATCAATATATGAATAAATGATCTGTAACACTTTTACTGATATTAAATTAATGAAAAGAAGTATTAGTAATCTCATGTGTAGCAAACATTAACCTATAATAATATTGGATTTATGTTATAATTTCGTACATAACAAAATAAGAACAGTATAAAATCTGTCAAATTAACATTTTAAACATACTAATTTTAAAATATATTAAGAACATTTATGCATTTATATATAGATACATATAAATATGTGTGCTTGTATATGTGTATGTTCATATGTGTAATCTATAATTATTTACAAACTTATATTTTTATATAAAAAGAATATTTATATTTTTACAATCTATAAAAAATCGACGCGGTGACATCATACCAAGGGACCCTACAAATGTCTCTAATCACACGGTGCTGTGATTGGCTGTGTCCAAATGCACCGCTCCATACTATAAGCAAGCTTGAAATTCAGTGTGTTTTTCGCCGAAGTGTAAACAACTTTTTTCTTCATAGTGTTAAACATGTCGAGTTTCGTGCCAAAAAAAGAGTATTAGCGCGGAATTTTACTGCACTACTTTGTTAAAAAAAAATCTGCAACTGAAACACACAGAATTCTTGTTGAGACTTACGGCGACCATGCTCTGTCGGAAACAACATTGGTTTAGACGCTTCAAAAATAATGATTTTGATGTTGAAGATAAAGAACGCTCTGGTGCACCGAAAAAGTTTGAAAACGAAGAATTGGAGGCATTACTTCATGAAAACTCATGTCAAACGCTAACTGAACTTGCAGAATCATTAGGAGTTGATCACACAACAGTTTCGAAACGTTTGAAAGTATTAGAAATGATTCAAAAGCAAGGACATTGGATGCCATATGAGTTGAAGTCAAGGACGTCGAACGGCATCTTTTCACGTGTGAATAGCGGGTGTATATCAGTTGGACACGGGGCAATTGGACACGGTCCAATCACAAGTCGCTGTTCCAAGGGACCCTACAAATGTCTCTAATCACACGGTGCTGTGATTGGCTGTGTCCAAGTGCACAGTGTCCAAGTGCACCGCTCCCGTGAACAGCTGCTTCAACGGCAGAAAAGGAAAGGTTTTTTGCATCATATCATGACTGGCGATGAAAAATGGATACACTACGATAACCCTAAGCGTAGAAGATCGTGGAGTAAGCCCGGCCATGCATCAACATCGTCGGCAAGGCTGAATATCCATGATTCGAAACTTCTGCTCTGCATTTGGTGGGATCAGCTGGATGTAGTTTATTATGAGCTGCTCAAACCGAACAAAACCATTACAGGAGATCGCTTTTGATTACAATTGATGCGTTTGAGCGGAGCATTGAAGGAAAAACGGCTGCTATATGAGCAGAGACACGACAAAGTGATTTTGCAACATGACAACGCTCGGCCACATGTGGCACAACCGGTGAAAACGTACTTGGAAACGTTTAAATGGGAAGTCCTACCCCACCCGCCGTATTTACCAGACATTGCCCCTTCCGATTATCACTTGTTCCGATCGATGGCACATGGCCTGGCTGAGCAGCACTTCCATTCTTATGAAGATGCAAAAAAAGAGTCGACTCATAAATAGCCTCAAAAGACGTGTCGTTTTTCCGACGTGGAATTCAAATGCTGCCAGAAAGATGGGAAAAAGTAGTGGCTAGCGATAGACAATACTTTCAGTGACCCTGTTTTTTACGACTTTTTTTAAATAAAGCATTAATTTTCACGAAAAATCAGCGAGAACTTATTCAAGGTCTTAAAAAAAAAAATAAAAAAAAAATATATATATATATATATATATATATATATATATATATATGCTGTGGCAGCGCCTCTAGCCAAATATTGAAGGAAGGATGGAGTATGAGGCGCAAAATCTTAAGCTCAGGTAGAAAGAGACGATAGGTACAGTGGGGAGCGTCCCGATTGACCACGGTACGATTGGACACAACCAACCGATGAAAAGAATTATCTAGTGAATTACTAGGTCGAACCAATCATTACAATCTGTGTCCAATCGTATCGTGGTCAATCGGGTCCCACCCGGTACAGTGTATCTTTCTTTCTCATTCTTTCCTAGATACAGTGAGAAAGCTACACCTCACACAGCAGAGGTGTCCAAAATATATCATAGGGATATCCTAAAGATATATTTGGGTTATGTAATATCTTCAAGATATCCCTATGATGTATTTGGGACATTCTTGCTATGTGGGACGGCACCTATCTTTTGTCTCTTTCTGCATCTGCTTTCTATTTTTTTCTAACCGATCTTCAAGATTTGCCAAGTAGAGACACGCTCGGTCTGTTCTTACTATGTCTATGCTGTCACCTGACCCGATATTGGGTGCTTTCCAGCTACGTACACTGTGTTACACAAAACCAGTTTATTGGTTTACAGCATTGGTTACCAGCATATTATTTTACAAGATATTTTAGATAATATGTAACCAATAAATTGGTTTTGTGTAACACAGTATAACGTAGCTGAAAAGCACCCATTAAAAAACTCCCTCATAAGGCGCCGACGGCTCTTGATTGTTACAAGCGCCATACGGAACGCGTAGCAGTAAACAGCAGGCCGATAGATGGTGTCGCGTCGATAGATTATTCGATCAGGAACTGTCTCATCTTTGTGTCGCGTGATACGTGGCGGTTCGTGTACTGTGCCGCTGACAATGAGCCGCGGCGGTGACTGTGATAAGTGATTCGCGTAAGGCCATCCTCGTTGCTGAACGCGTATAGTGGCAGTGGAGAAAGATCGCACGTCGACCGCTGATAGAGTTCATCTCTTGATGATTCGCGCTTTACGTGGGCCGCAGGCAAGCCGGAACTCGCAATTATGCTCGAGGTACCGCCGAAGTTCTACGAGCTGTGTCGCCTTTGTTTATCGTCGGACGGTGTCAAGTTGTCCATATTCGAGGAGGAGGAGGGCTCCCAGCGAGACTTCGCCGCCAAGATACTGACATGTCTGTCGCTTACGGTGAGTATCTCGAATTACGATTAATTCCCTTTTATCAAACGCGACCATCTGTACTACTCGCACGATTGTGTATGCGTCTCTCCGTCTGCGTTCTTCCCGTGTCGTCACCGTCGTCTACCTCCGTCTCTGTCGCTCTCTCTCCTTCTCACTCGCTCATTCACTCAGTACTAACTCACTCACTCACTCGCACCAGAAGCGCTCTCGCGCTCTCTATACCGCGAGATCAGTCAGTTTCTTTCTCTCTCCCTCTCTCTCTCTCTCCCCCCTTCTCTTCGTTTCTCTCCGACTCGCTCTCTCCATCGCGTTTGCGATCACGCTTGCGCTCGCGATCGCGTCACCGCGAGTATCGTGTATGTGTGTGTATGTGTGTGTATGAGCGAGTGTGTATATGTGCGCGTGCCACGGGAGAAAGTTTGGCAAGAGATGTGTCCGCGAGATAAGCCGACGAGCAGCAGCGGCATTTAAAATGGCAGTGATAAGCCCAGCGCGAACGAGAAGCGGAACTACGGTGCGAGTCGAAGGGAGGGGAGAGAACTGCGGCTCCTTATTTGGTTGGCATGTTATCAGGTTTCACACGCGGATTCCGTTGTCACGTCGTATCGTGCGTTATCCGTGCCTTCGCTTATCGATATCCAGCATCGATGCGAGTTGCGAGGCGAATTAGAGACACGCGAATCCATTTCTCGCATAGTACGACTTCATAATTCCTGAGCGCGTAAATTATCGCACGATAACTTTTCATCATTCGAAACATCATTCGAATTACTTATATAAGTAACGACTCGAGTTTTTCCTTCATTCTAAGAATATATTTTCCATTTTATATTTTATTCGTTAAGAGTATATAAGAATTCGTACACATGTCCTCATATTTTCATAATTGTTGTCAAGTTTTTCATTGAGTACTGGTCATTCTTACTTGTACAAATAATTGCACTGTATCACATAAGCAGAGTCTTATAAAAAAATTATTCCAGTTGGAAAGCATGTGTTGATACATTTCTTCTTAAAAACACTTGCTTTTTTACGATATTACTTTGACAGATAATATATTTTTTATAGGTGAAGGATGGTGATTCCTTACCAACATTTATCTGCCATCGGTGTGTATATAAGTTGGATGCGCTGTGTAACTTTCGTGAGGTGTCGCACAAGTCTGACATTATACTCAAACAGTACCTGGATTATGCCAAGCAACTGTCGTCTCACGACGAGCAGGTATTGTTCTATGATGTGATTTTTTTATATAAAATTATATAACAATTATATACATTATATATATATATATATATATATGTATATATTTATGTATATATTTATGTGACACATTGCTATACATTTATAGCTTAAACTGACTTTTTGCTTCAATAAAAAGACTAAAAATAGAACACACAAGTCGTATCTTCATCCTTTTATTTTTACAAACTCTTATTTATAGAAAAAGTCTTTCTCCACTGCCAAAGTAGCGGGCGCGAGCCCTCTGCAATCGTTCCTCCAATTGAGCAAGATACTGTTCAATGAGGAGCCTAACTCCGAGCCGGCCAGCATTAATCAAAACATAATACCTCAAACACAAACGCATCATCTGGAATTGCATAACGACGACATGCCAGAGTTTTACAATGTTAAGTGCGAGCCAGGGGACGACACCTGCTCCAACAGTTCAGATTCCGACCGATTGGAGATAGAGGATCGTGACGAGCAGGAGATCGAGAGCGAAGAAAATGGTTACGACACGATGGACACCAAAAGAATTAAGATGGAGAGTAATCACGATGACTCCGAGCCTAACACAGCTAATTGTAGCCCGGTTAATAGGATGGACACTCCGGAAAGCAATTGCTCTGACACCAACATTGATCAGGAAACGACCAAGTTATGGCAAGCCCTAGCTAAGTAAGTTAGCTGAGTCTGTTTGTGTCTGGCTAATATTTACCTCCAATCTTATCTATGTGTAACTACCTGAGCTTTACAGGTACAATGTGTCAACTGTTCACAGATAAAATGTGTGAAAGTGCGCGCGGCGTACGTCCGTGCGTGTATGTGTGTATGAGAGAGAGAGAGAGAGAGAGAGAGAGAGAGAGAGTGATAAGGAGAAAGAGACAGATAGTCGTATTGTATTTGCGATAACTATATTCTTGTATTATTATTTTTTGGCGATAAAATTTCGGCAAAGTGCATCGCCATTAAATTACTTACAGCAATTTATCCGGCACAATATTGCAAATATTTCGAGTCTATTTGATAATCGATGGTGTGTGGTGCTGAAAATGGATGATATTTTTGGCAAATACACAAGCAATGATGAAAACCATAAGAGGTGCGCGTGTTTTTACATTGGTATATTTATTACTAACGCAGCAATAGAAGCTTGGAAATCACTCGAACGAACGGCGATAAGCTGAACAATGGATTTACCGGCGAAGCGACCAATCTGCTGCGCACTTTGATCAACAATAGGCAGATCGGTATTACCACCGTTGATTCGGACAAGTTATCTCCGCAAGTCAGATTTTACAGGGAGGTCCAAGGGACTACCATGGAGCGTACCGTATCCGATTGCCCCGTACTCGGTAATCGTACCAATGTAGCAGCTTTAGAAAATAAGGTAAGGGAACACCGATTGCGGACAGAATATAAAAAATACTTCTGTAAGAATCAGTCGAGATGTTCACACGAATAGGAGTCTGCGAGTACGTATTGTTCCTTGATAAAACATTCCTTGCATACTTAACGGCGTTAAAAAAAATATTCATTTTCCGAGTGAATAAAATAGTTTCTCGGAAATCCCTTGCTAAATGTGAACCACCAGATACCGGAGCAGAAAAAGGTTCGCAGGTATAGCGACGGAAAATCCTCGGGACCTTTCTACGGGTGACCATCGTTAGGCCCCTGTTGGGTCTATTGAGAAATCCCTTTAGGTCTATTCAGAACATACATTTGCAGGTATCGTCCCGTAGATAAAAGATAACCGGCAACACCTTCGAAATTCACAGCTTCGTAGTATCAGCTTCCTGTCTTAAAATGTATCAAAATATAAAATGTATCTTGAGAATTTTCTTGTATTCAAGATATAAAGCAAATATTATTTAATTTCTTTTTTATTTTCAATACTTCTGAATTTTTTTACCTTGATTTTAAAAATAATTCTCATCATAAATAAAATCTGAAGAAATATTGATATCAATATTATTAGAAGCAAATAGTGTATAGTTTCTTTTTTCTTTATTAAAAAGGGCCAGATCAATGTAATACTCTGAAAAGTGTATTTTTGACAATTAATTTTGCAAAAATGAGTAAACCAAATGTTTTAAAACATTATATATTAATTATCTATTCAATTTTATATTTTTATTATTTGGAAAAATTTATTTAGAAAAGTCTGTAAATAAATATGTGGCCGAACTGACAACTGCAAGAAATATCGCTGCAATCGGTGAAAAAGTTAGCACTCGTTATAACCGGAAAGATCTAAAACCAAAAAGATCTAAAACCAAAAAGATTTTTAAATAATATGCTTGTAGTTTGGGGGATGAATTTAAAAAATTTAGAAAAACATTAAACTTAATACCTTTTTTAATAGTGCAAAATAAAAAAAATACGCAAAATTTGGATATTCAATTTAAACAACTATTATTTCTGCAGTTTTTGTTCTACAACTTAAAGTTTAGATTCATCTAACTATAAGAATATTATTTAAGAAACTTTTTGGTTTTTTGATCTTTTAGGTTACTAAAACGGGCGCTATCTCTCTCGCCGGTTGCAGCGATATTTTTTGCAATTGTGAGTTCGACCACATATTTATTTATAGGTTTATATATATAGACACACACACACATACATATATGTATATAGGTTTTTCTAAATAACAAGAATAGTAATATAAAGTTTAATAATTATTTAATTAACGTACAATGTTTCAAAACATCCGGTTGATCAATTTTCGCAAAATTAATTCCCAAAAATACGATTTTTTTCAGAGCATTATATTAGTCTGGTGTCTTAAACAGTATCTTTCATGATTTCATAAACGATTAGATTTTGCTACTTTGATGATACATGTTAGAGATTCTTTTATCTCTTGTTAACACCTAGTGAGACAGATTTTTCTTGTGACGAAGTTTTTTTGGGATCTTCAACGCCCTTTCTTCAGTCACGTCTTTCCATCTTGATAACAAGTAGAAAGCGTTACCATAATCCGTAGCCTATACCTGCGCATTCCGTTGGAAAATTGCTAAGATTCCCATAGCTATGATACAACAGATGGAAAGTTTGAAAAATATCTAGAATATGAGTTATATACTTTAGGTAAAAGGAGAAATTGGAACAATACGTTTCGAGCATATTAAATATCTTACAGCAGATCAATTTTTTATTTTTATATTTAATATAATATACATAGAGGGTCTACAATTCATGATACACCCGTTGTATGCAAGTATAACTCGTCAAATAGAACACAAAATTTCTCTACTATTTCGCAAACGCTCTTATAAAATTTTGGGTCATTAAAGACCCAAAGATTGATTAAAGAGGATTGGCGAATGATCATGCGCGATACGATAAATGAGTTGTGATGGCGACGTCTACTGTTCTACCATTGCGCATGCTTATATCTGTCGTATGCTGGTATATTAAATCAAATTGGACTAAGAATTTCTCTATTATTTTACAAGTAAAACCACGCGGATTTTTATTTATTAATTTAAAAAGATTAGTGAATGATTACGCGCGATACGGTAGATGTACTGTAATGACATTTGCTGTTCTATCTATACATCACGGCTGAAGAATTGTCGAACACCCTGTATATAATGACTCGCGTTCGGGCTTTTTATGTTGCTTAGAAATAATAGTGTGTGTGTGTTTTTGTATGTTTGATAATATTATCCTGCCTACTTTAAGAATTTTTTGTGATGTTTCGAGCAATTAATTTAGAGAAAATGCCAAAATAAATAAAGAAACGCGATATCCCATCTGTGACAGAGTGCCTCGATAGACAGTAATCCGTCTAGCCCTGCCAGCATCAGCCGTAAGGAGGCGACGACGACGAAAGGTCGCAGGAAACAGAGTTACCCAAGCAAGGCCCCGGCGAGTCCAGACGTCGTCACCGCGTATCAGCACGAACACAACGAAGAACAAGCGCAGGATTTCACTACCTGGCCCAACAAGATAAAGAATAAGGTATTTTTGCGTCATTTATAGAATACGGTAGCGTAAATAATTACACGTAACATCGTCAATCGATTATCACAGATGGACGAACAAAAACAACAGCTTGACCAGCAAAGTAGTAACGTTGCGAAGAAGGTGGAGATGTCCTGTTCGAATTGCGGAACTATGACGACGACTATCTGGAGAAGAAATATGAAGGGCGAGATGGTGTGCAATGCTTGCGGGCTGTATTACAAGCTACACGGCATTAATCGTCCGGTTACCATGCGGAGGGATACTATACATACGCGCAGGCGTAGACCGAAGGGCGAGAAACCGACGAGGCACAGAAGTAAGAGAGAAACCTTTTCAATTAAAATCAGTATTTAAATTCCTTATATTAATGTATTATTAGCGTATGAGCAATCTTACGGGAGAAAATTATCCCTCCTGAAGACTAATAACAATTCTCAGAAAAAGGAAACACGATCTTAGCGCCTCAAGCAGCGGAACAAATGGATCGCGATGATAGCATGATGGAGGCTCTTCGACGACAAATTCAGCCCCACCTGATGATGGCGTTGACGCCCCCGCATATAGCCGCTGGCCACCCGCCCCCACCTGCCGCTCAAATCAGTTATACATTACCTTTGTCTACTTACATGATTCATGTAAGTTAACCGTATGGTCGAGCATCCAAATTGTACGCGATACTTTTATATTTGCATTTAACGCTTCTGTTAGATTACTTTGAAAAGTAAAATCTTGTACGTTCAAAGACGTAAAGGTTAGTAATTTCATTTGTGACGCTTGCAAGTAACCGAAAAGATAAGTCAAGCACCGTTGAATTTCTTATACGGGTAGCCGTTCTTGTGTCTGTGATTGCTCCTTCTCTACGAGTCTATGGCTGCATCAATCATGACTCGTTAAAATTTCAGCAGCATGTGAAAGCCGAGGGTACGCGTGTGCAACGGCACTTGTCCGTGGACACTGAGGAAGCCGACGAAGGTGATGAGGAGAACGTTTCCGATGTTCCCCTGAATTTGGTGGCGACTTCGCTCTCGGATCAGGCGCACTGAGAGAGTGCTCGATCAACTTTCACGCCTAGGTATGCTTACGAAAGCTTTCTAGACGGCACAGTCCGCATTCGGCAAGTCTCCATTTCTTTCTACTAAGAAATAGCGAGCCATTTTATGACGGATGCGGTAGATCCCGACAGTGTTATGAAGAGAGCCACTACTCTCGCTCAGCGCGCACGATGAAACGAGATGATATTAATTACGCAGTATTAATTATTCATGATGTACATACACAGACACGCGTGCATACGTATACGCATGCACGTACATACATAACACGTACATACATCCACACACAACACGTACACTAAAGAGACCGACGAACACACATCTCGAACACACAGAGACACACATATAAGAAAATATTTTTATACAAAATTTTGTACGCTCGTCCGTTGTACATACATGTGCCGCGGAACTACCCGTGGTGCCACTCGGGGACGCTTGTCGTTGTCGTCGTTATCGCCGTCGTCTCGTTTCAATCAGGGATTTTACAGTAACGACGACGGCGACGGCCTCTCCAATGGCGTACCTGCAAGGTCGTTTTGACTTTCAACATTCATCTGCATTACGCTCCAAATTTGAAGGTCCTCTCGAACTTTTATACGTTGCATAATGAATGTTGGATTTTTCACTTTATTTTAATACAAACAGTAAGCGAACTGTTTTGTAGTATACTACTTTGTAGTATTGAGTATATAATAATTTTCTTTCTGATTCTTGGATATTTTATGTGGGAGTTTACATTAAAAAATTGATTTCAATTAATGACCTCTTATCGTTCTATACTATCCTAAAATATACAGAAATTTTTGAGAATCGAATCTCTTCATAGAATCTCTTTATATATAGCTTTATATAAAATTTCTCTCTAAATATATTTTATCGTAATTAATTCACTTTTGTCAATAAGTCGTAAAGACTTATCAAGATTGTTTGGTCAAAAAGTAGAGTCTAAAATAGTAGGGAATTGTGAAAAAGAATGATATCATGACAGATAGTAAAAGTTCATTAAAATTTTAGCAGAATTAATCATTTATAATATTGAAAAAATGAAAAGTTAATTTCAAGCCTTTTTATATATTAAAAATATATATTGATAATATATAATAATATATATTTAATATATATTTTTGCTCTCTCTAACTTTTCATAGGGAAATTAAAATTATTTGATTTTAGATGACATAGTAGTATACGTGTGAAATTCTTTTTTGGGAAGGGGGAAGAAATTTAACTAACATTTAACGCAAAGTGAATAATTTTAATTGAGCTTTTTATTTCAATTCGACTGGAAGGAATAATGTTTATTTTGTGCGCAAGAGATGTATGAAAAATTCAACGAAAGATCCTGCATTTCATACGCAACATCTTAACGTATCTGTCCGATGACGAAAAATTTGAGCGGTTGACAATAAAAAATATAGAAAAGGATTGGCGCAATAGAAAACTTCGGGGCCTGAATAAAATGCAGCATGCTAGCAGCTATGTCACAGATGTGCCTCCTCTCTTCTTCGTTATTCGGAGGATGCACTTGCGGAGCCTTAAGTTAGAAACCTGTAGATGCTATCGAGTTTACGAGACTGCTATAATTGTGCGGAAACGATTAATATGTCTAAACTTCCACCCTCTCCTCTCTCTTTCTCTATCTCTCTTACTCTGCTTCCTTCATTTCCTTTCTTTCAATCCTCTCCCTTCCTCACTCCTCTCTACACCCTCTGCCTCTCGGAAGACTTGTACTTAATCTCGGGCTGCGTACTCATACGCAATCACATAAGCTAAAACTCCGGAAAAGCAATAATGAATACGGCGTGGCGTTATGTATCGTTGTCGTCGTCATTACGGATACTCATTTACACGCTCTCTCCCCCTTCCTCTCTTTCTCTATCTATCCATTCGATGACGAACGAGAAACACGCGACAACTTAAGAAAGTAATAATACTTAGGTAACATTTATTCGTACGTCACATACGTTAAAGGTCATGAATTTTACCGCTCCACTGCTGCTGCGTAGCCAATTTCTATGAATAGTAATATAATAGAAATGTATATATTTTGTGGCTTCTCCCCTTATAACTCTCTCTTTCTCTCACAAACAGGATCGGATTGGAGAGGCTTTCATTTTATTAGAGTATAACCGAAACTAGGGTCCATATCTACCTCCTATATACATTTACACAGATCATTTAACGATAACAAACTGAGGAGTGTACATTACAGAAAGTTAATTTGTAGAATATAGCTTTGAAATGCAATATAATAGATGATCTTGATCTGTAACGACGTACTTTCAATGTTACAGTTATCTGTGGGATATTCAATTGTAATTTTTCGATGTGTTCCAATGTTTTTTAGAATGACTTAATATCGCTACACTAATGTGACTTTCAATTACTTTGAAATTTCACAATGTTTATGTGTATTGTGAATAACTGTATCAAGTTGATTAGAGTCGATTAGACTTTTCAATTCATTATACAGGATATCCCAGCTAAAGTTTTACAAGTTTTTCTCTCTCTAATAAAGATTTTTATTTTATTTTAATGTTCGCTGAGCTCTTTTACATGACAGATAGGGCACCACAATACTGGATCACCAGTAGGGACAGAGAAGGGATCCCTTTAAACTCTTTCTAAATAGAATGACATTTTGTTCTACACATAAGTAGGATTCTCCCCATCGAGGAAAAAGGAAATATAAAAAAGTGGAGGTGCACGGGATAGTGGTGTAAAATCGTGACTGGAATTATTTCAGTGTCAACTCGGGCGTTGTTTTCAATAATTCGAAATCATGATATGCCTCTACTGTCGACTCTTGTGTTATATATATGTGTGTATATATATATGTAATATATATATTATATATATTTTTATATAAATAGTATGTTATACGTATATATAATACATTTATATAAACATATATATATAATATATATTTTTCTTTTCTCTCCAATCCGAATCCCCCGTGTAATGTAATAACATGAAAAACATAGTGGGCTGGGGTCTCCGCTATTTCTCCAGAATTGTACAGATAACGCGTGTCAGGAACGGGTGTTAAGCGACTTTACATAGCGCATAATACTATGGCCAGTGCATCTACTCATGGTATCGTAATACCTAACATGTCGTATACCTAAACAACATTGCCAAAAATAGATTTAGTCTACGTACATAGGATAGTTAAGGACGTACATGAAAATTTAGCAGTCTTCTTTGTTCTTCCCGAATCTTCCTTATTATGTTTTTCCCGCCGACGCTCTATTCTTAGTCCTCCGTCTTTTTCTTCTTCTTCTGTATTTCTTTGTTTTTTTTTTCCCCTCAAAATCGCGAAACTACGTATGTCTCTTTATTTCTGTACCTCCCCAACGAGCCGGTTGTCGCTCTTTCCGTGGAGACCCTCGAAACGTTCTCGTGAGATTTCGAAAACAGCTCGCAGCAGCCCGTGGAAGAAGCTATTTTAGTGTTAGTCGTTATCAAAGGAGCCTTATAACAACAAATACTTTTTTCCGCTGGCAACGCCGTTCTTTTGCTCTATGAACTCATTTGCAATCGATTTCTTTTTCCAAATTATCGATGTTATCGATACTTTGCGAGTCATAAGAAAAAAATTTCAGAGTAAGAGTTTTTACGAAGATATTTTACAAGTGCGTTTAAACATTAAAAAAGAAAGAAAAGTATAACTTTCGAGAAAGAATTTTTCGTGGAAAAAGGATTTAATTCCAAATTTGTCCGATAATTTTTAAGTGCAAGAGAACAGCGTTGCAGATAGGGATATCATGTATATACATATATATGCTAGAAAAATTGAGCTTGGAATGATTATTGACCTAAATATATTTTCCTTAACATTGAGCGTTTTTGTATAACGTGTATGGCATACATACTAGTGATTAAGCTTAAAGTTCAAAGTCGCTGAAAGTTCAAAATAAATATGTGACTTTAGCAGCACATATTAGTTAGTCAACAATTGGCCACTATAGATTCAACGTTCACCCTTTGCACGTGCTTTGTACTGCTCAGGGAAATTTGTGTACAATTTACACGGATTAATTATTATTGACCGTCGTGTATAAAAAATTGTGCATCATTATATTGTTACGTTGTCGATATAATCGATTTTATTAAAAATTAGGGACAACAACATTTTAGAAATCTTACATTAATTAGTAACGTTTGATTGACATCACTAAGTAATCAACGAAGGTTGTAGTGAATACCTATTTTAATGTCAATTTCTAAATTCTAACAAAATAAAAGAATACAACTTTGTTTCATACACTTGTTTCATACACTTTGTTTTGTTACACTTTGTTTGTAACAAAACACTTGATTTGAAGATTTTTAGTTGAATGTATCGATCTAAAAATCTCAGTTTGCAAGTCAGAATTGCTAGAAACGCTCACTGTTAAGCTCGGTCGAACCATTGTCGAGCTCCGTTGCCAACGTGCATGTATAAATATGTATACAAATACATATACTATAATATATAGATGTGTGCATGCATACGTGCATACGCGTGTGCATGTATATGTGCACAAACCTACACCATATATATGTATAGGCATACGTGTATACGTACGCGTGGGAGAAATATTCTATGTTACTACGTATTATATCGGAACCGTACGAATAACAGCAACATAATCGAATCGTCGAGGCGTATGTACATACAAAACAAAAAGAAAGAAACGCGGCGAGATCCGGAGCTTCTGTCTCGTGTACGTCAAATGATCTTTCTTTTCCTTTTCGACACATATTCGGCGTTCTTTCTCCTCTCGTTCAGAACAGAACAGAAAGAACACGGCTCGTCGACGTCGCCCAGTAGACCGAAATAGATCGAAAGTTTACAGTAGCTTTATACCACGTCGTCGTTGTCAATCAAAACTCGTGTGACTCCATTTTCCTATCTTTTCTACAAGACATTATACAAAATGAATTGTTCGTAAGAAGTATCGTAAGGCAAGTCGGCGTAGGAGGAAAAGGAGAGAAATTGAGCCATGTAATGGTATAAATTCTAAAAAGAGGTCGCGGTTAAAACGATACACTATATGGTAACAGATAACAATAAATCGGAAGCCACTAGCGTTAAGTATAATCAGAGACGGAGAGTCGTAATGTATTATTCTCTTATTGAAAGTGACATAATAGACGGTAGATCGAAAAGAGTCCGACTGATGAATGTAGCGTGTTGGGCAAGAACAAGCAAAGAATAATCCGCAAGCGGTAGCTTGCGTCGCTGCTAAAAACCGGTCGCTGTAAAAACGCGTTCGCTTTCAAATACTCGGGGGATTACCTCGCGGGCTAGTGGCGAAAGTCGAAGCACACCGAGATCACATCGTGTCCATCCAACGTTTCTCGCGGGAGAACGATTTAGTATTATCGTCATAGTATTACCTGGAATTCCCTCCGAGAGATATGCCCCGAGACTCCAATTCCGTCGACTTTTAGTTTCGCTGGATGGGCAAGCGCGTTTGTTCGTTTCGTTCTAAGGGGGTATGTGATGTCACAGCAAACTGATCTGATCTTCGAATCTGTAAGCGGGGTCCACGTACATTTTGTATAATAAGAGAGGCGAGACCATTCGCGAGAAATGTGTGAGGAACGGTTATCTATATATTTCTCTCTTGTGTTAGATATTTTTTTTCTCAGCTATAATTGGCATATTGTAGATTTTTAATCATTAGTTTTTTACACACATACAAACACACAGACACACAGACACTCATCCAAATATTATTATTATTATTATTATTGATTAAATAATTATTCTCATTATCATCATCGCTAAAGTATAGATTAGGTTTGAGCTCTCTACTAAATGTGGAACTAGAGAATATTTTTTATAATAATTATGATCTGAGTATTGCTATCGCTATCGCTATTATTATTATTATTAATTATTATTATTATTATTATTATTATTATTATTATTAATTATTATAGCGTCGTTGTTTGCGCATATTCGATTGACGCGACGCTCCTTTCCTCTCGTCTTCTGTTTCTGTCATAACTTTCGTAAGATCTTTTTTTTTCTCGAGTATAGTTATATATTTCGCGAATAATCGCCATGGGTTTGTTTCGACGATGATGAAGCCGAGGCTTTTTATACATACGTTTTTTTTTTTATGTATCAGTATTCTACACGTTTGATCTTAGTGGATAAGTGATTCTTGAACCGACGCTACTTAAACCCCCGACACACAACGGCGAGATTTACTTTACTTAATTATTAAATTATTGACTTTACCCTCCTTCTCTTTTCTTGCCCGTTCCCCTTGTCTCCCCTTGTTTTTGTACGTCCATTTTTACAATCTCTCCTCCCCTACGTAGCCCATCTCTCCAAAATATTATTTAAACGCTAATTTATTGTATTTTACACACGTACGTACGAACATACTCGTATATATGTATCGTATACGCAGCATCTTTTACGTGCGAGTTTTGGCGCGACGACTGGCTTAATAATTTATTATTATATTATTATTACGATTATATATTACATTTTACAAACGCGGGACACGGCCACATATTTTAGCACGCAAAATGCAGGCTTTTCTCTACTCGCCCACAAATCGCCCCTCCCCCTTCCCGTCCCCCCGGTGTTGTTTTAGCTGCGGAGAATTGTGTCGCGAAAATTGTATCGAGTCGCGCGCGCGCGCGACAACGTCAACTAATTGGGAACGAAGGGGTCGATCTTTACCAATAATGATTAAAGGTTGGCAAAGACCGGGCATCACACCGTGCGTACGCTCCCGCGTATGCTTGTTTATCTCGCCTCTGTTCCCCACTATTTCGTTTTTACTCGCGAACGACGCAGTCGGCGGCGCTTTTGGGTGCCTTTGCCCGCATTTGTAGATTCACGCTACGTCGAAACAATCTTGCATCTCGACGGGAGCGTAAACTTCATTGTCGGCATTGTACGTATACGAAATTCTTCTAAGAGAAATAATTGTAACTAAACGCGCAGAGAGGAGGAGCTCGCTGCAGGCGGGCTATGGGCAAGGACGTTGGGATCAGCCCGGACGATTTGAGTGAACGGTTGAGTGACGACGGTTTCGGATCGGTGTTGTTAGAGTGAGTTCCCTTTTCGGATGTCAATGCGTATTGAACGTAATATGAATTCAGCGGAGAGCAATTCGATTATTTAAAAGTGCCGCTCGTTTTCCGGGTTTAGACCGCGCCTGCCCTGTGTTTGGTTCCGACGTTTCGCGAACAGTTCTCTTCAGGGAGCGACCTTAAAGATATATGGCGCTTATTTGAATGATCCCTAGAAAGTTATTTATTAATTTATGAAATATTTAATCTATTTAGAATCGATGTATTTATTCTCTGGCGACACTTTTAGGACAATTGTTTCGTCGGAAATGTATAGTATGGGATTTAGTAACGAAACGGGGTAAAGTGAAGAAATTTATATTGACGCAAACGTACGATCTACAATGATCGAGCGCTTTCTCCACATTGACCGACTCAGAGGGCACTGCTAAACTCAAACCTAAAATTCATGTGGCATGTCACAGACATTTCGAAATTCATACAAAAAATAGTCTGTCTGATATTTTCGATGCGCACAAAAAGGGGACTCGTCTAACAACACTATTTCAGATCGCTAGATCGAACCAATTGTTTCGAGCAATTAAACGCGCAACGCGTGAGAAAGACTCTCCGAACGATTACCTCGTCAATCGTCGACACGTAACTTTCTCATAGATCAAATCAAATGTGAGCCCATAGAGAGAGAGTCGGGGCTAGAGAGATTCCCGTTACTTCGTCCAACTGACATGCAAAAGTACGAAGACCGTTAAAAGCCGAAGACATAAGTCGCTGAGCAATTAACAGTTCGCCGTCCGTTCGCTCTAGCTTCGGCACTAGCTTGCCCTTCACACGCTATGTGTTCGAGAACACCCTCCAGCAGCTCTTCCTCCTCATTATCTCATTAAGCACGAGTATTAATCCGAACTAATCGACTGAATATTATTTTTCTATTGCGGATATAATACGATAATACGATCACAACGGATGGCAATGGAATCGCGATGGAAACCGCGCGAATGTATATTTTGCACAAGATATGCGGTTGCGAGTCGCGAGGCTTCGATTGATCGATAAAAGAGAAAAAAAAGGGAAATAAATTTAACCCTCGATCTGTTGTAAGCTGAATCCGCATCGCGAGGTTTCACCTGCGTATCTCCCCCCCCCCCCCCCCCCTCT